CGTTTGTTTTTACGCAAAAACAAGCTTTCAAAAAGCTCGAGGTGACCATAGTACAGACAAACGAAAAAGAGTGGCGCTGTTGTCGCATTTAGCTCGGTCTCGGTGGACGCCAGAGGCCTAGGTTTCGACGGCGAGTTTCCCAACTGAGCGTTTTAGTAACGTTGGTTTGAGTCTTCTCCGTGTAACTCTCTCCGAGTGCGATGCATTCTGGGAGAGAACTCGAACGGCGCCAGTGCGTGTGAAACGAACTCGCTATTAATCATGGCAGGTGTTATGAATACAACCCCGACTCCCGTTTGTTTCTAAAATATTTCGGCACGCACTCTGTAGCATATGTTCCGAATTATTTCAGAGTAAACATCAAATGCAACAACCAAGGGGCTTCTTCAAGGTCATAATTACAGAAAAATTTTATTTTCAGAGGACTCATCGCAAATAGAGCATCCCTTTCGGACTTTTTATTTTTGTACTACCAGGGGCCCTAAACTCGTCAAACACTAAGTTGGAACCGAAACTTCGTGAAGCGTGCCGATTGGACGCTGGCGACAAAAGCGCGAAGTCATCGTCGCGATAGTCAAATCGGTGCGCTCCGTGAATTCGTCCCCAACTTTGTGTTTGGCGAGTTTAGAGACCTAGCTTGCCAGACTTGCCAAGTATCCTCGAAAGTAATTCAATTACTTTTTCAAAGTATTTGTATTCTACTCAAGAAAGTTTGCACTGAAAGTAACTTGAATACTACTCTAAATACATTGCCATGTGTGTATTTAGTATATCCTATCTTAAAAACTTTTTTTTTTTTGGTATTTGATACAACATTGCGGGACTGGTAGGACGCTAAACACACCAGCAACGTTACTAAAACTATGGTGCCTGGATCGCGTCTTCGACTGGTGTGTTTAGCGTCCTATCCCGCCCATGCATCAAAAGTGGTCCCAATGTGGCAACAAATGACGCGAGTGTCATGCTGTTGCCTGTCGCGATCCTGGCGGTTGGCCGTAGAAATGCTGGCGAAAAACACGAGCGAACGCGAGTGTCGCTGTCGTCACGGCGTCTCTTTAGGAGTCCCAACTTCCGGCTGCTCTAGCTTCTGTGAACTGTCACAGTGGAAAGCGACCTGCAGCAGAACAGGCGTCTGTCACTTATACCACAACTGTTAGGACGCCGCCAGTGTCGCGACCGGCGACAGCATGACACTTTTATGACGTCATCAGGCGGAAATCGAGGGACCACTTTTTTGGCCGCGGTAAACACACCAGTCGGAGACGCGTTCCAGGCACCATACTAAAACACTCAGTTGGGAAACTTCCATAGAGACAGTCTTGGAAAAAGTGGTCCCTATCAGTCTCCGAGCACCGAGCACCGAGCTAATGACGAACACAACGCCACCATTTCTCCCGCAGCGGCCACTCGAGGAACTGCACGTGACTTTTATTTTGGCGTTAAGAACAGATACAGCGGTAGAGGTTACAGGGTTTAAAGAAAAGTTTATTGACACTGTAAACTGCAAGACGTAAATCACACCGGTATACAGCGGGCTAAGCCCCCGTCTCCCCGGCGGACGCGCCGCGTTCAACTACCGAAGTTAAAATGCACCTAGGTCGGGACGCGCTACCTGAAAGGCCCGCTGAGGGATGGTTGTATAAAAACAATATTAATTGTTCCGCAAAATCGTGCGAACTAAAGATGACAAAAACATCACCCACCCATCATTTGGTACTAAACTCCAATAAATTTCATACAAAAAGAGTCTTTTCCGTTTGTTTTTACGCAAAAACAGGCTTTCAAAAAGCTCGACGTGACCATAGTACAGACAAACGAAAAAGAGTGGCGCTGTTGTCGCATTTAGCTCGGTTTCGGTGGACGCCAGCGGTCCAGGTTTCGACCATAGAGTTATTATAATGTACGCTAGAGGTTCAACTGGCGCTAGTGTGCTGCTGCAAATTGAAGCAGACAGCAACCAGTCTGAAATTGACTTCCGGTAATGCTTTTCTATGGGAAAACGCGGGTGCATTTTCTCGCTGCGCTCGATTACAAGAGCAAATATCACGAATATTTCGTACGTACTAGGCACATTGAAACATTTTTCGGTCACGCAGACGAAATAATTGGTCAGTTACGGCGTTTTTATTTGAAATTCGTGGCACAACCATCCCGCTGAGGGATGGTTGTATAAAAACAATATTAATTGTTCCGCAAAATCGTGCGAACTAAAGATGACAAAAACATCACGCACCCATCATTTGGTACTAAACTCCAATAAATTTCATACAAAAAGAGTCTTTTCCGTTTGTTTTTACGCAAAAACAGGCTTTCAAAAAGCTCGACGTGACCATAGTACAGACAAACGAAAAAGAGTGGCGCAGTTGTCGCATTTAGCTCGGTTTCGGTGGACGCCAGCGGTCCAGGTTTCGACCATAGAGTTATTATAATGTACGCTAGAGGTTCAACTGGCGCTAGTGTGCTGCTGCAAATTGAAGCAGACAGCAACCAGTCTGAAATTGACTTCCGGTAATGCTTTTCTATGGGAAAACGCGGGTGCATTTTCTCGCTGCGCTCGATTACAAGAGCAAATATCACGAATATTTCGTACGTACTAGGCACATTGAAACATTTTTCGGTCACGCAGACGAAATAATTGGTCAGTTACGGCGTTTTTATTTGAAATTCGTGGCATGAAAAACGGTGCTAAAACCGTTTCGTACATGTATTTGTGTGCACTGTCGGACACTGTTAGCGCGAACACGGCGTCGGCAGGCGTCGGCGCTTTCCGCCATGGGGGATATACGTGTCAAACGAACGAAGGACATGTGGAAAACCAACAGAGACGGCAAAAACTACGCAGTAACACTGGATAAGTAACTCCTCGTGCATACAAGCGATAAAAATATATTGAAAGCCACGTAATATAGTCCGATTTGCAATAAATAAGTACTGCTTTATTCTTTCTGCTCGTGATAATGTGCGAAGATGCATCGTTCTGGGTTCAAATCATCAACCGCTCGCTTCAAATCTTTACAAGTAGGGAGAAGTCAGAGAACAGGTGCCCGATAAAAACTGCCTGCCATAGGAAATAATAAAAAGACACACCTTTTGTAGCCCACGTACTTTATTTTTTTACATTCGAATGGTAACCGATCGTAAAGATGCACGACGGAGTCATATTCATAGAGTGACCGGACGGGCATATTAGCAATATATAAGCGCCACCGGAATGCTAGCGAACCTTGAACACACTCTATATTTCTTTCGATCGTTATTTAGCTCAGAAGCGTCGCTCGTTATTACATACCTGCCATAGAACAGAGGTTTGGGCTTGAAATATAGCGAAGCGTAACATCGTTCAATAGTAAAGAAAAATGCTGTAATTAAAGCAATTACACTTTTACAATATTAATAAAGGTACATACTATCCGGTATAACCGAAGTAATAACAGTTATTCATGTTATTTTCCGGCGAAGAGACAAAATTCACGCGCGATTCACAGGAGCACCGCAAAAGTAGACTGGTTGCTGTCTGCTTCAATTTGCCTCCCGGAAGTCGCATAGACACTAGCGCCAGTTGAACCTCTAGCGTGCATTATAATAACTCTATGGCGAGTTTCCCAACTGAGTGTAATAACGAGTTCGTTTCACACGCACTGGCACCGTTCGAGTTCTCTCCCAGAATGCATTGCACTCACAGAGTGTTGCACGGAAAACTGGACTCAAACGAACTCGCCAAATGCACCGAGTGCAGAAGACTGATGTTGCCGCCATCTATGTTGTAGAAAAGGTACCGAGTTCAAACCGAAACTAGCGCCTTTCTGTTCGGAGTGATGCGTGGGAATGCGAGAATGCAGTCGGCTACCAACGTTTATCTACAAACGTTGGTCGCTGCAACCTGTAGTTTATAGTTGCGATGACTTCAAGCAGCTCGGCTGCCGTAGAGATAGTTACAGACGGCGTAAATTTCCGCACCCAGTTTTATACAAAGCAGCTGGTTACGATCTTTCAATTCTTATAACCGTTTACACTGAAGAAAACTGATGATGCTGTCCGAGCAGAAGCTTGATCCGCTTGAGCATGGTATTATGCGTGAACCACTGAAAGGGTACGGCTTAAAACTAGCCTGTTGGAATATCCAGCAAAACTGGGACTTTCGATTTGGATCGTCATTATAGGTGGATCAGAAATTAGCCTTGGTGAGGGCGTCAAGAACGAGAGCTTTCTCGAACAAAATACGACGGGGCAAGTTAGCTGACGTAGGTAAATGTTAAACATGATGATGTTGCCCAATCCTCGGGTAAAGTTACCATATTTAGCTTTCTCTGATGCTTATTGGGCAGACAGAGGTTTCTGCTGGGGGAGTGTTGCCGACAAATGTTAAATTTTCCACCCGCACACGGATGATGATAGACATCTCGGGGGCCGCTGTTACGTTTGTTCTGAGCATTTCTTTACACACTGGTATATTTCAGCGTCTGTGCGGCAACAGAGTGACTTAAAACCTGCAAATAAAGCACGGGTTGTCAATTGTTTCCTTCATGAAATAGCAGACGCTCACAATTCAAGCTCGCGTTTGATTTCGTGGCCCGCGGGACGCGATTTCTACTAGAAAATCTACTTTTTGTTCCGTTCGGTTCCGCGACACATCGTAGCAGACGAACCCTCGTCGTCTGCTCCCGCTCCTCGCCGGCCCCGCTGGAGCGAGGCATGACGGGATTGCATTTTGGCGCACTCCCGATTTTCTCGGTGCAGCGAGTGCATGCACGCGTGGGGTGTCAGCGCTGAAAGGAACTCGGAGAGTGCAACCACTCGTGGAGTGCCGGCCGAAACGAACCCGTTCCACGCTGCGAGTGGGCACGCGTGGGCACGAGTGCCGTGAAACGAACTCGCTATTAGTAACGTTGCACACCAGTCAGGGACTCGCTCCAGGCACAAAGTTTCGGTTCCGTTTTGATTTTCTAGCCCTACAGCCCTGCGGCTAGTCTCGGTATCTCGAATCCGAATCCAACTTGAGTCGAAACTCTCACGCGGCGCGTCGTGCCGGTCGGTCAGGTCGGTCAAGGAGCTGGTTTGGTGTCCGTCGGGCTTGCGGGGTTTGGTGCGGTCGTGTAAGCGCGCCGCCATGTAGAAGACCATCGCAGGATGACGGCCGTGTCCTGCACAGATCCCGCCCTTCGACCCACAAGGTAATAACATCTGGGTGGGCTCCCGCTCAGCCAGGCCGGCCCCTCGTCCGTCGATGGGTTCCACGGGGACCTTGCCAAAGCTACGACGCTGATGTCGCTCGGTTGCATCGACGGACGGAGTCGCTCGGCCGTAACAACCGAGTGTTCGCATATGCAAAAGGAGCCCTCCCGTCCTTCGGAAGTGCTCGAAGCACCGAGGAGCAGTGTGCGTTTGTAGCTCCGCGCTCAGCTTGTGCCGGCACGAGCTGTCTGTAAACCGTGCAAACGATATGTGTTACGTTAAAGCCTGATTTCAGGAGAGGTGAACACGTGCTGCGCAAACAATCAACGAACATGTTTTTCCGCGGCAGGCGTCTACAGCCGTTGTTTCCAACGCCGCGCGGACTTCTCGCGAGGGCCGCCGGAGTCCAGCCGTGAACCCCTCATAAAACTGATGGGTACGACGTTTGTTGATTGCGAGTATTAGCAATTTGCGTACTTTCCCCAACTTCCCAGTAGAAAAAAAAAAAAAAAAGACGGAACAGAAGTGAGATTTTATTTCCCAAATACAGAGGAAAGACACGGCTAGACACCGACACACTTACCAGTGTTGTGGAGTGGACACCCCCATTTCAGTTTCATTTCGGGGAATTCGGCAACATCGACGACGGACGCCCTGCATCGCCTACTACAACATCAACAACTACAAATGCTACATGAACAACTGCTACATTAACTACAAGTACAACATCGACAACGGACGTCATTTCCAGTGGTGGAAAGAGCCCATAACAACTATCGCTGCAAAATAATGGTTTTGCTCAGGTGTTTGGTTTGGTTTGACACCCTGCTTAAAAGCTAAATGCTAATCGCGCATGATTACAACAGCCGCTTTGTCGCGTCTTGTGATGCCAAGAATGACACCTTATACGTTTACAACTATATTCAGTTTTGGTTGCTTCACCGAGGGTGTCGTGTTTTCGTCTTTGAAGGAGCATAAGCCAGTGAGACAATCGAAGCCGTCAGTCACCTCCAGTGCAATGATGCTGTTTCAGGAGCCACTTACCATGTGCAAGGGAACTGCGCCATATCAGCTTGTAGGCCCTAGATGAAGGTTGACACAGCTCGCATTAGAACCGAGCCCATTCCATTCCCATTCTCTTTTGGGCAAAAGGCATCTAACTCCATTCCCATTCTATTCCACCCAGTGCTGCCGCCATTCCATTCTGATTTTATTCCGGGGTCACGAAAGTGCGGAATGATTCCGGAATCATTCCAACTCCGAAGTGGCAACTGCGCAACACTGAAACATACTCCACTAGGGTTCGAGGGCACAATGCCGTGAACATGGTCACGATTGGTGTGTGCCTGTCTGAGGTGGGTGATGCGGTTTTGAATGTTCCTCCTTCAACCGGATTGCAATGCCATTCAGTTTCCTCAAGTTTCTGTGTAAGAAAAAAAAAAAAAAAAAACATTATCAAGGGACAAACTCCATCTCCAAATGCATGTTCGGCATGGTAATCTTTCAGTGTTTAGAATCTTTTTTGCGTTTTGACATCCGGCATTTTGATATCGATCCGAGAATCAGCCAGCCTGTGACCCGGGTATGACATGCTGATGGCATTTTGTGAAGTCTAACATGCAAAGGGTGCCTTCCCCCCAGCTTCTCGTAAAATGTTTTTCCTAGGCAGCCAACCGTGCGTGCTCTGCCGCTTGTCAGGGGGAAAGGGAGGGCACTACTCTGGTACAACTGCTGGAGCTGCACATGTGTTCCCTGCTTTATCCTGGGACCCCACATCAATTAACCACTCAATCTATGTTCATCAGGAGTTTTCCAAGAGGTAAAGTCAAAGATAGCAGTAAAAGTGCTAATAAGGGCTCAGTTTCATCTTGCATTGTTGGGCACTATGGTGCAATGACAATGCATCTACACTCTTAGTCCAAGCAAGCAATCACTGTTTGTTTTTATGTTTTTGTCTTAAAACCGAAAGACTTTTTATGGAAACTACTGTAATATCTCGAGAGATGGCCCACCCTCGAAAGATAGCCCGCCCCCTATCTTTGGCATGATTTGCCTATTCTTTCTGAAACCCGAAAGGTAGCACACTCCTGGTAATTGTAGGGCCCTGGCCAATGGTGACCTCGGCAAAAACTGTGTTCCTTAACCACGGCGGGAGATAAGCGAACATTGCTGACTAGGAAGGACAGTCATCTTTGGTTCATGGCCCCTTCCTGATCGCAAGTTTTGAGGATCAGAAAATCTAAGACTAGCAATTTTTCACCTTTTTTTTTTTTATGGCACGCCGAAAGTTAGTTTACCACTTATTTTTATTCGATTTGCTATCGATCTTAGATGGGCCGTCTCTCGGGATGTTACGGTAGTTGTGCGCTAGGAAGGGGGGATTTCGGGCGCTAACCTAAGCGGTGACATTTTATGCCTGCCAATATCCTTTTGAAGTAAAATGTGAAAAAGCGCCAGTATCCTATTTACGCTAACAGTGTTGCACAGTGTATCATCAGGCACGAACAAGCTACAAATGGTGGAGTGCATGGCCTTCGATACACACCGCGCTGCCTGGAGGCCCCTGGAAACTGCTGGAACTGCAGGGCGGAGTGGGGTGCTGCTGCGAGGGAGCACACAGAGTAGATGCACAACCTCGTGGCCTCCTTCTCCATTCTGCACTTTTATCAGTTCCTAGGAGCCTCATGGTGCAGTGGAGTGCGTATCGAAAAACATGCATATTTAATTCGTGCCCAATAATATGTAGAGTATACAATTTGTGAGGTGAGCATTTTCGAAAGGCTAGAAGAATCAAGAGAATGATTCCGTCTGCCTGCAGGCCGGCGCCATGCTCCAGGTCAAGCCGGGAGTCAGCCTCAGGATGGGGCCTGTGCCTCGCAACAGCAAGCTGGTCCTCGTGTCGGCGGGGGTCGGCATCATCCTGCTCGGTGTGCTCACCAGGTGGGTGCTCCCCAGGCAGCACAGATGTCCTGCCACATACACCCATAATTTGTTACGACATCCTAGGGATGTCTGTAGGACCATCTGCAGACATTCTAATGATGTCTTGATGAAGCGAGTTCTGTTACATACTTTAGCCCCAGTCTTTTTTAAACTCCTATTATTGAAACCTCACGTTTGCTTGAAATTAGACTCAGCATCTGCAATCTCGGATCCTGGTCAGGCCACACCCACCTCTAACCTGGAGTCGCTTCAGAATCATAGCGCTAGTTTTTTACTCGGCAACTATCATTGTACAGCCAGCATATCATCCATGAAGGCTAACTTCTCTTTGCCTCTCCTTTCATTGCGCCGTAAGTGCTCTCATCTGCATATTTTCTACAAAATATATCATACTAATTCCATCCTAAAAGAAACACTTCTCCTCAACCCCTCCTACATTTCGTCACGGATCGATCATCAGTTCAAAGTTGGCCTTCCTCAAAGTCGAACCTCAGCCTATGAGGAGGGCAAGTTGTCTGCTTCTTGCTCAGAGGTTGCGTTTAACGTCAGAACAATGCCAACCTTTGATAGGCTTTGCTTGGAAGGATAGTGGGTAGACCTCAATGCTAGATGCCTTTAGGTCTACCCACTATTTATTTCAGTCAGTCAACAAGAGCTCGTTCGTTTTGACGTCATCGCAACCCCTGTGCAAGAAGCAGACAAACTTGCGCATCGCATAATGATTCCTTCAAGCCTAGAACATCGTCAGAATGGAACCACCTGCCCGCGTCATTAGTATCAATACTCTCATTAGATTTGAAAACTGCTGTTAATGAATATTTTTCTGTAAATGTCCCATGACTATGTTTTACTAATTTTTTTTATCTATTTTCATGTGTTTATACTCAGGGACAATTTTTCTTGGCAATGCAATCAAAGGTATGGCCACATGTGCCCTCTCCCATTTGGAGCACCGATTAAAGCTGTGCATGCTCTTTCCTCCTTTTTTCAGAAATGCCAAGACAAGTGGTTCATGAGTATAGATACCTAGCTACTCCTCTCTTTAATCCCCTGTAGGCCCTGAGGGCACTGGAATAAATAATGAATAAATAAATAGGAAGGCTGAGGTACACCTAAGCACTTCTTATGAGTTGCGGGTGCGGAAGCATGTACATCATTCTTGCTGTGCGCGTGTTGGCACGCTTAATCTCGCTGACGGACATGCAGCGCCATGAAGTGGCCAGTCGTTGGAACTGATGCGCAGCGTCAGTTTCAACGATTGGCCACTTCATGGCGCTGCGTTTCTGGCGAACGGGAGCCTGGTCGACTCGCGCTAGCCAATGGGTGCATTGGCTAACCGGCGAATGGGAGCTGGCTTGACTTGGAGAAGGATTTTAGAGGCATTTGGCGTGGTTTCAAAGCTGATGACGTCGGCTCACTCTATGAAACAGTTAATACTTTCGCATTAATAAATCTGCGCTACCAGGGTTGCCTCCCTCCCTCCTTTCCTGACGGCTAGTCCTTGTGCAGTACGACCTTCAAGTTGTGTTCTTGATTTTACCTCGGAATCGAATTGAAAATTTGGAAGGGTTTTGAAAATTTTTAAAGTTTCTTAGGGATTCTAGCTTGATGAAGCTGCTTTGCTTAATTAAGCTCAATCCTTGGTTCAGTTTATAGATTGCAGTAGACTACTTGCAAAAATGCCTGCATGCAACACTGTGTGCGTTGTGTTATGGAACCTTTTTGGCCATGGAGAAGAGTGGCATGGTTTTGGTCTCGATCGCCCCGTTAACAAACTAGTGCATCTCAGCACTGCATGAAGAAAAATCCAGCACTCACTTGCTTTGGGCCCATTCATCCTTGTGAAAGCCCCCGTTGAAACACGGACCTCCAGCGGCCTTAAGGACCTGCCTAGACTTAGCGTAGAGAAGGTGTAAGGCCTGCCACGTCCCATACCTTTCTGGCGACTTGGCTAGCACTCCAGAGTGCAGCATGACCCTATTGTGTCACGGATCATTTAAGAAGCCGAGGACTTTGAGACGATGAAACAGGATGATCGGCCCAGTGCAGTAAAAGCACACTGCGTTTACACACAGTGTGCTTTTACTCCATTAAGTGGAAATAATCAGGCCATTAGCAGTCCAGATTATTTGGGCTCATTAAATTCTCGGTATAAAAATTACTCATGTGGACACCTTAGTAAAAATAAATATGTAAATGACATTTCATTCAGAATACATATATATATATATATACACACATACATCTGCCTACCTAAGGCCTCTTGCCATTTTTATTGAATCAGTTATTGCGGGTACCGAAATCTAAAACAAAAAAAAGAGAGTATTTTCTATTTTTCTTAAAATCAGTACCATTCCCAATATTTTTTTCTGATGAATACGTAACCTAATCAATTTTTTTCTGAACCAATCATCCGATTGTAATAGAGAGTCCCATTTAAAGGCCCGTGGTATATTTGATTGAGTAAAAGCAGATGGAAGCCTGTCCCGTCAATTTTTTTTAGAATAAAACCACCTGGCAATGGTTCCGAAAATAAAATAAAAAGAAACAGGTCTCCCACAATAGTCGTCATTTGAACCGCAGTGTTGTGTACCTGCGCACAAAGTCTGGTGTGTCGGGAGACCCAAGAAACGTATCCCACCATCCTTTTTTTTATAGGTAGCCAACACCGTAAATTTAAGAAAAGTAAGATATTTTTCAAGAGGCCCATGGCATGACACTGTGCGACACGCTTAGCGCGAATGCGACATCGGAGACCTTTTTAGCTTTGTTTCGACAAGCAATTGCCAGGCCCCAAATTTTTTTGCTTAGGTTAGTTCATAATTGAGTGCTTTTTATTACCGTGAGAATTTGAATGAGAGCCCCTTGACTAAAACACAAACTATAAACATTAAATTCGCTCCGCGCACATAATCGACGCTTCGCGCACGTGATACGCAAGAGAGATGTTTGCTTCGCGTGTTGACTGCTCCGGTGTTAGTGGCAATCGGAGGAGCGGATCTTCGGGTCAGACTTTTAATGCTTCTCGAGAATTGAATTCAGAGGATGAGAGGTCATCATTTTATGATAGAGTCGTATAAAGTACCCCCGGTTCAGTATATGAGTCTGCCGGATTGTTGCGGAAGTTGATGCACCTAAATGAAACTGAATGGTAGAAAGGTGACAATTTTTGCCCTCAATATCTCTCTTCGATGCCTTTCAACCTTGACAGTGTGCAAGCACTGTGCATGCTCCTGCTAGATCATAAGAAAAAAAAGAACCATGCATTGACTTTTTTGTTGTACCATACTTTTGGAATTAAAACCCAACCACTGGAAAGTAACTTTTGAAAAAGGAAAAAAAAGAAACTCGACCTGAAAGGGTTAAGCACTAGGATCCCCGAAAAAAGTAGGACATGATGCAAGAAAAAAACATTGCGCCATGAAAAACGCCACATGCCGCCCAGGTTTAGCGGAACCACGTCCCGCTAAATTTGGTGTTATTGAAATTTTACGGGCAAGGGATTCTTGCCTGCCAAATTTAGTTGACGGTGGTCAGGTGTCGTCGTCAGCAAAACGGTGGTCACATTATGGCATTAGCGATGCCACGGCATGACACCGTGGCATTCCATGGCACTGTGACATTGCGAGACACTGCATCGAGATGTCGCGTCACCTTGTGACCTGTGTGGCACCAATCACATGACTGTCACACATATTGTACTACCATAAATGCATAAAGGATTCTAGATAAATGCAGAGTGCAGCTCAAAACACATTGCATACTAGGTGTCTCCTGACATGATCCATAGAACTCAGATACTACATTAATATTTATTCTTTGTGGAAAATTCTTAATGTATCACCCCCCCCGCCCCCCCCCCTTCATTTCAAGGGATGGACACTGCTGTAGAATCTTTCATCAGAAAGAGAGTATTACATATTACATTTATCTTTGTACAACATTAAATGCTCTAAAACAAACATTAGATATATTCCTATGAATGAAAAAAATGTGAAACAAAATATAGAAGACTCAGTTGCCTCAGTCACAAGTAAAATTCGTTGATTTCGAGGTTTATTTATTTATTTTATTTGGGGGTATATTTTTGGGGGGGAGGGGGGGAGTAGAATAGTGTAGGGTATTTTTCCCCATAAATTCTGTGTTTTTGTTATGTAAATTGGTTATAACTTAAAGGGAAGCTACGGAGCTTCTTAAAAAAAAAGTTAGAAGTGAATTCTAGTGGATTTCTACCTCATAAACCCGAATACCCAAACCATTTGCTGCGCAAGAATTGTTAAACACGAGAAAACGCGAAAGACAGTCGCTGTCCGTGACGTCATCGACGGATCTTTTGGCTGCCCAAGGCTAGGGAGGCGGGGCTTCAGCCCTATTTTGAAATTGCTCTTTTGGCTCTCCAGCGCGTCGCATTGAAATATAATTATGATATCTGTAATTCTAACGGCCAAATGAACACAATTCAAGTGTTTTTTTGTTTTTTTCAAATGCAGAACCGCCCCATCTTCCCTTTAACAAATTTACACGGAAAACACAGAATCTGTGGGAAAAAATTCTCACCCCCCCAAAACTAGAAGAAAAAAAAAACCCCAAAAATCATGGAATTTTAGCTTAAAGTTCCGTAAATTGAAGCCCCGAAGAAATGGGTTTAGCTGATTTCCTCCATTTGATCCTGTACAATAAATGAGTCTTTTTTTACTGCTTCAAACGTGCTGAGGAAGCTACACTTGCATTCGAAACAAACCACACCTACTCAGCGACGCAATATTGGAGATTTAAATTGACTATGTTTTTTCATACTACCTAGTATGTTTTCCGTACAAGAGGCATTGTCAGCATGTACCTAGGGGACACAGCGTCCGGAGAGGTTATCATACTCATATTGGACAAAACCCCGGGACTGGGGGGGGAAAAGGACAACACAACACAAAGTTTCAATTTTGAGACTTTGTGTGGTGTTTTCCTTTTTTTCCCCCCCAGTCTCGGGGTTTTGTCCAATATGTTAAACCTTCACCAGCTTGTTTGCGCCCTAACTTTTTGTTTGATCATACTCGTCTCTCGTATGAGAGACAAAAATATTTGAGTAAATCACTAATATTGCTACGTTAAGTTGGCATAGTTTGTCTCGTAATGATAAGTCCTGGGTTTCGGGACATTTTTGCTACAAACGCATAGAAGGAGCCCGTTCCAAGACCCATTGCCGAGGGTGGCGAGAGGCAGGGACGGGAGGGGAGTCAGAGGGGCTAGGAGGGCCATTGCTCGACTTTGGCTGGTTCATAGCTGTGTCGCGATTCATAGCCGTGCAGTGGTTCGTAGCTGTGCCGTGCGATGCAAAAAGGGTGGAGCTTCGATCGACCAGTGGCGACCATGGGGAGAAGGGTAGGATTGCGTCAGCTGAGGATTGTCTCGTTGCAGGTACCTGAGGCGGCGCTACTTCACCCCCACCGCCAGCGCTGCCGTCAATGGAGGTGAGTTTCGCTCTGGGGCGTGCAGATTGACGTCATCCGAGTAGGTCTTTGTCGGGCTTCTAATAGCTTGCATTCTGATATATGTTGGTGTGCAGAAACATCCGATTTATGTGGCTCGTAGTCCTGTAGTGATTTGGTTATGGTTTCTTGACGATCTGGTGTTTTGCCTGCCCCTGCCGTGTAGGCACCTTTTGGGGAAAGCTGCTCCCAAAGCTGTGAGGAGGCATTGCAGCCCTGCTGTGGGGTGTCGTTGCCCGAGATAGAGTAATGAGCCAGATTGATGTCTGGGTGATGAGTTGTGATTCCAAAGAAACTGAACTTATACATGTATTGTGATGCACAAGACACCTCTGGAAAGACGTCGTGACGCTACCTTTAACGAGATTGCGAAATACATCGGCGTTAGGTTTTTGCACAAAATCATAAGTTTATATGGCATATTGTATATCCTGTTATTTGATACATTATCCGAATCCACGAGTGATATTGTATAGTTTAAAATATTTTTTCCACCATGTGCCTCGCATTTGTGCCGTAAATTGTAACTACGCTCTTGTCCTAGGCTCGATCATTATCATTAGTACCAGTTGGTCGCTAATTGTATGGTATTGTTTCAGCTGCCTACAACTACACCCAGGGTTGACTGCACACTTTTGCTCAAAGCTATTCTTGCAGGTTTCGGAAAGCATTATTTTGACATTTCTAGAACGAGTGGATCTCGCTTTTCTTTTTCTTGGGTGAAGTATTCGTGCGCATGTCGCATGTCTTGCATGAAGTCATAATTATGGCGCCTCAATGCAGGTATACACCTTTTTTTCTTTTAAAAAGGTGCTAAATATCTGAATTTAGAGAAATAGCGACTATAGTTGGTGACAGGTTTAGAGTAAAGTGGAAGCTCCTCCCACCCCTTTCCATTTTAGCAGAGTGAACGCTGGAGAGAAGGCAACCTCCTCTTTAGCGTTCGCTCTGCTAACGTGGAAGGAGGTTTGGAGGAGCTTCCGCTTTACTATTAACCTGTCATTGACTGCAACCCAATTTTGTGCCTTTATTGTTAAATTGTTGCTAGGAAAGCCACACATTCCCAGATAATGGGCTGCCATTGTGTCCACTGAGAGGTGTTTCTTATTAACCGGGCAGCCCTACGATTGCTTGCCGAGCCTGCCCAAGTAAATCGGGGGAAGAGGGGCCATTTGTGCACGGCTGCCGCACAACGAGTATTTTCGTTTGCTTTGCCATACTCGTATCTTAATATCTTTCTCAGTGTGGACAAATCACTCGCAGCATTGCTCGCTTTGTTAGCTTCCTTCAAGGTCGAACACTGGACGGGCCGGCATGCTTTTGAGCATGTACCGAGGTGCAAATAGCCTCGTGCGGATTGAGCTACGTTGTATGAGTAGCTTTCTAGCAGGAGGTTAAGCAGCTAGACAGAAACCAAATCTCGTTTCGCCGCGATTGTTTGGCGGCTCTCCGTCCACCCGCACTATCTTCCATCTGTGGATCATCCGCTTGTGGCACCTGTCTACGGTTTGGGCACGGCTGTTGTCGCCGACAGCTGAAGGAGCGCATGGCATGGCGAGTGCCTAGCGTCTTATTATTTCTCCGCAGCCAATAAGGTTGCAGCGTCAGTTGATAACACCGAAGAACGAATGGCGAACCAAGAATTACGGATGTAACGAGCCACGTCGTGCGTTTCTTGAGCTGTCGGCTACTCTATGGGCTCCACTTCGACTTGCTAGTGTGCTCTGTGTGTGAGCGCCAGGCTTTGTGGTTGCAGACGTGCGCAGGGCCCTGTGTGCCGAGTGCCGGCGACCCTCCCTGCGCCACCGCGCCATCACGGGGGGCTTCGAGACCCCACTGACCGCCGACCAGCTGGGACGCATGGGTAAGTGTCCCACCCACACGATTGGGGGATCCCACGGAAGTCAGGAGGGGACCGTAATTGGTCTTCTCCATGTTGAGGGGGGGGGGGCTTTGGCAAACCTTGCCACCATGGCATAGTCGTTCGTGCCGCCGATCTTAGCTGGCACACGTGAGAGCTTCCCTACCGCAGTCATACCTGCCGATGCACGTACAAATGGCCGGGCTAAGAAAATTATGGCTCGTCTCTTCGGCTGTGGCTGTACATTCAAGTGGAAGTGAATGGTTTTGCTACAAAGGCCCGTTGACACGTGCGGCACCGTGCTACCTCAGCACCGATGCAGCGCCGACTCCGCTATATCAGCTGCCATAGTTATGCCGTAGAGGCTGGTTCGAACATTTGTGTTTAAGTTACAGGGCTACGTGATAGATGGCACCAGTCCACCAGTGTGTTCTCTTGTAAGTGGGCACAACATACTTAATCACACTCGAATGTGAATGTGAGAGCCAGTCTTCGCAGTGTTGTATTAGTGCGAAAACCCGAATTCCTTTCAAGCACACTTATGGTTTATGGTTCTGCCTACCCTGGCAAAAAAACTTTCAGCCTTTCCACTCTGGTGAAGAAGAAAGAGCAGCGGAGCTGTAGCTTCTGTTTTCGACTATGTTTTTCTAGGCAAGCGATCTGCTCTTCTTTTGCAAGGGAATCTGAAGTGTTAGACGCAGTGAACTTTAGGCAATAGTTGCGGAACCATTCGCGCTGCTGCGCATATTGCCGCAAGTTACACTCTTGTTCTTCCTCTGAAGAAAGGCTGCCGCCATCTATGAGCGACGGCAGCAACCGGTTGTCTGGTTGCCGCCGTCGCTCATAGATGTTGGTAGCTGTCCGGAGTTCAGTGTCATTTTTTTGCTGGTGGACACGATCCTGGAGAACCTAGCCCTTGACAGCTCCGCTGTAAAAACATATTGCAGGGATGCAGACGGTGAGGAAGAAAGGAAGCGGGGCAAAAGGAAGAGAGTAGCTGTGTTGGCCTCATAATGTGGCGGTTTTGGGACATTCGAGTTGGAAGTACAAGCACCGTGAATGAGAAATCGCATATTCCTGTGGGAGTTTGCCTTGACCGGCATTCATGAACGTAACAGTGGGGAAAAATGTATAAACCGAAAATGTATCATTGAGGTTCTACTCTATGTTTTGCCATATTTGACATTGCTCCTGCGAGCAGCATGTCCACTTCCGCAAAAAGCATGCATGGTGACGGCGCCTGCTGCGTTGATCATTCATCCGATGAGGGTTGGTAAATCATCAACCATTCTGAGTGTAGTTAATCGAACTGAGATTTCTGCTAGTTCTACTGGAACCGGTAGGGTGTTCGAGCAGTGATCTTTTACTTGAAGCGAATATGAAGCCAATAGTCATATTATATAAACTAGTTTTAGTTCTGCAATTAATTTCGAGACGAAGCAGATATTTTGCAACTGCCATTATGCTACTGGAAAAGTGCAAGTATAAAAGTTACAATAGTCTGCAGTGAAAATAGAGTTGACTAGCAAAGAATTTTCTCACTATGCTTTTCTAAGTTAATAGAAAGACAATTATCGACAAACATAAAGGTGCAGACTCGTTCAAAACTTTTGTTAACTCTTTGAGTTAATGAGTTCTCAAGCTGGGTTCCTAGGAACCTACTGTAGAGGTTCCTAGTAGCCTAGAGGTTCCTAGCTGGGTTCTCAGGAACCATTTCCTGACCTCCCGAATTTTCTCAGCCGTCCCTGCCTCAAAGTAAGATGTTTTTCCAGATTATGCACTGCTTTATAGCCGACCCATTCATTGATGCATATCTGTGAGCCAAACATTCCCTGGTATGTGCATTGTTTACAAAGTCTGTGGTCTTTTGTGCCACTTTATTGGACAATGCCAAGACCACGAGGCATTTTCCGGCTTCCATTTAAGCCAGATAGGGTTGTGTGGAATATTTGAATTTTCATGTAGTAGGTTACAATAATACACTATTCAATATTCGCTTCAACATGAGCTGCGATATTCTTATTTTTAGAGGTGTGGAACGCCTTGTGTTAGCCCCGTTGAGTGCGCTTCTTACCAAGCACCGGTGCAGTGCGGAGAAGTACACTCAACGGGGTTAGGACGCCACAATCAACACTTTGAAAAGTACAAATATTGCTGCTGCGTGCTTGGGAGGAAAACACACTTTCAAGCGGGATGGTTCACGCGCACGCCTGGTGTGTTTCATAAGAAACATATTTTGTTGATGCTAATACCTTAATTTTGAAAAGTAAAAATTTTCAAAGTTAATTTGGCTATTTTGCACGAGTATGTTAAGCAGAAATGCCCGGCAACCTGCGTTGATTCTTCGCGACTGCAAAAAATATATTTGCATATAGCGAGAATATTTATAAATCCTCAATTAGTATAGCTGGGCATCCCTATAGGTTTCGTTGTATGTCAAATGCATTGTTTAGTTGCCATCTGAAAGTAGCTGCATTGGACTTTTTCAAGCCACAGTCACTAAGTATAGATGGATTAAAATTAGCTTAGAATTGTATGAGTGGAAGCTTGAGTATAACCTTCACAGGTTCAGCAGGGTTTTCCCTTGAACGTGGTGCCATAGAGGCTTAGAGGAACTATTCCATATTCAACTCAAAAATATTCAAAAAAAACTTCTATTTGCTTTGAATTCACTTTGAACTCAAAATTGACCTTTTTCACATACTTACCAGATGGAGGTTCTTCGAGATCAAAATGTTTAAGAACACCTCCTCTACTTGCTTAATAATGGTTAATTCTCCTTTTAGGGAAACGAGGGCAACCCAGACATGCAAAAGAATGAGCCTATCAGTCTTCACTCAGAGTCTCAAAATGAAAGGAATGCATGAGAGATGATACTGGCATCACATACCATATTTACTAGAACATGGGTCGACCCCTATACTCGATTACTTGCCGAGAACGAAAAGGGTATTTGATTATGAATTGAATACATTTTGTAAGAGATCAAGAAAAAGGAAATTTGCACAAATATTTACTTCACAGTGTCGACAGTCATCCTAGATAAAGCTCTCTCTTCCGCTGTGTCGGCAATGTCATTGCCCGGTATGTCGGAAAATTATCTTACACAGATGCTTCGTCAGCTTGTAGACTAGCTGACGCTGTCCACGGGATGTAAAAAAATGTTGCAAGCAACGTGCACAAACAGTCGCGAGGAGAATTTCGGGATGGTGGCTGTCGCCATCAGACGGGGCCAATATGCTACTCCTAATGTGACCTCACGGCTATCGTGTCAGTCAAGACGTCCCCGTGACGTGGCACCTGGCGCTGCGCCAATCTCGTCAAGCTTCCCTGTTGTGCACCGGCGCACCGTGGCCGTGGTGCCTGGAACGCGTCTTCGGCTGGTGTGCCTGCTGCATCCTGATATATGTTTTTTTTTATTTCCGCCCGGCTTCATGGTAGAAGTGTCGCCACGAACCTGGCGGTGTCACGGCGGTGGTGGTGGACGGGGCAGACGCCGTGCTCTGCTGCAGGTTGCTTTCCAGCTTGATGGTCCACGGAGGCTTCAGCATCCAGAAGCCTGGAGGCCACAGCGACACCCGCACTTGTCCATACTTTTTGTCAGAACTTCCACAACCGACCGGAAAGATAGTGACGTCGGACAACACAACCCCCGCTCCTGTGGTGCCATTTGTTGGCACTTGGGGTCCGCTTTCGACGCTTTGGCGGTGTAGGACGCTGAACATACTACAGTCTACGCTCATTACAACAGACCTGCTTACAACAGACATTTGGATACAACATACCAATTTGTGAAGTTCGGTTGGATTTTCTCTACATACCATTGACTAAACTTCATATCTGTATAGAACATACTCCTCTTACAACAGACCAAAATCTTAGTCAAAATCAAGGTCTGTTATAACGAGCTTAGACTGTAGTGGAAGACGTGTTCTGGGCGCCGTACTGTAGCAGAGCTCCTCGGTGGGCTCAGAAATTTCGAAAGCCCGCCGTCTGGTCGAGTGATTGGCCGACATGCTTTGGAGACTCGTGCCTTGGAGGGTGTGGAGTGAGCGCCATTCGTGCACCCAGGTCTGGAGTCCCTGGAAGCGGCCGTGGGATGTTGGGAGGACTCCCTGCAGGCCCTGCAGAGGGAGAGGTTACCGGTGAGTGCACCGGCCCTTGCGGCCCAGCCGTGGTCTGCTCTGCTGGACGGGTTTCGTTACTAGTCTAGAAGCCACCGCATTTACTTGGAGCACAGGCCGAACTCTTGTCGGAGAATTTGTCGAGAATAGTTAGAAAAAGTAGGCGACTATAGGTCGACCGTAATGTCTCGACGAGCAGAAGTGAAAGAAACTCGTATAAGCATCAGTGGTGGTCTGAATGCGTCAGTTGCACCGTTCAAATTAATTTTTATTTTCCCGTGCCCTGTTGTGCCCAAGGAGAAAATTTGCCGAAACTGTGCCAACGATAGCTTGTCAATCTGCAAACTATTTTAAATTTGCGTTTTCGACTGGCAACTCATGTACAAACTGTTTCTGTTTTCAAGCCAGCGGCCCAGCTTTAGCCACGTTTTAGCTTTCTGGATTTCCCGGCTTCTGGCTCGGCCATGCCGTGCTTTGCAGCTCCCAATCAAGTGCAGGTCCGTAGCTTTCCGTTGCACGTCCTAAACGTCTCGTGGCAGCTCTGAAGATGAAGAAGCACCAGTCGTTCTATTTTTCTGGAGACTTGTTTGTGCATAATAAGAAGCAAGAAAGGGCTCGTAAAATTGGTGCTTGCACATTGTTCTCACTTTGCCAACATGTGGTGCTGCGCTCGGTGCAGAATTACTTGGTTACGAATTGTTTCATTTTGTTTCTTGTTAGATGCATAGTATTTCAGGTAACGCAGCACGCGTAGCCCACCTTATGCTGTGTACACAAACCTGTGACTTAATTGAAAATAAACAGCTGTTGCTTGGCGAGCATTGTTAGTAGTATCTCCGCAGTGCCCATGCTTGCGGGGCTCGATGCAATACAGCAAACTGCTAGTAATGTTTTATTTGGAGTTGGGTCCGCCAGCTCAATTGCCACCAGCCTGCTTTTGCTACCGTGGCAATCTACGCAGTCTCATGGTTGCTGCACAAGCTCCGTGTGCTAGTTACACTTTTGTGTAAACCTTCGCCTTGGGTTGCCTGCATCGTCTGCATTCGGGCACCTTTTCTGGACGGGGCCGTAAAATAGGCAGTTTTGGGATATTTGGTCAAAGCCAATCTCAGGTAGGTCGAGATGGGCATATAGCAACTTTGCTCGATAAGCTTAGTACCCCATTGTATAGAAAATGTTTTTGGGGACAAACTGGGTAATTACATTCATTTTTGTCTCATTATTATTTACAACTCAAATTATGGACACTTTTTTGGGGGGAACGGAGGTGTTCATACAAACAAAACATCACTTTACCCCTCTTATCATGAACCAACTCGGTTCACCTCTTGTCATTTGAAGTGCCATGGTGATGGAGATGGCTGTTACAGTAACCACAACTGGCTCCATAGATACGCAAGTTTTGAGGCACAGCCTCTGTATGGTGCTTCAAATAGCAGGTGGCAGCCTTGGGAAGTAGTCGGGGGTTTGCCTCTCTGCAGGAGTTCCGCAATCAAGTTGATGTAGTAACTTTAGTACGTGGCAACTCCCCGTTTCCCCGCGGCCAGCTGTGTAAGACGTCTGCTCCCGCCCAGGGCCTCCTGGATCAGGCCGGGCTGCGGACCCTACTTGCCGAGGCTCAGGTGCTGCGGGCGCACTGCCGGGCCCTGCTGGAGGGGCAGCTTTCCCTACCGGCTCCTGCAGAGGCATCCCAGGCGCCACCCAGCACCATGGACACAGACAGCTTCGTGTCGGCCGAGGGGGTCTCCGATGTGAGTCGGCACGTTGGGAGGGTTTTGAAAAGGTTCATATAAAACATGCATTTTGCAGAAAAGAAAATTTACACAACAAAATATCCATTTTATTGCAATATTTGCAGCACAAGGTGCAATTTAGGTGCAGTTCACAACCTGTTCTAGGCCCAGTCCAAAGACAATGGCCCCACCAGGGTTGGGCAGAAATACTCAAAAATGTATTTGGAAATACAAATACTGGGATGCATTGAAATAGTAGCTAAAATACTGATACTAAGATACATCTGTAAAAATGTATCGCGATACGTATCGGAAATACATTTTAAAAACAGGCAAAAAGTATTTGGAAATACAAATACAGGAATACATTTTAGGGAGGGCAGAAATACAAATACAGAAATATTGATACTGAAATACATTTTTCAAATTTTTTGAGACGCCAACTGAGATGAAGCTTGAAGTTTGAAGTGGATGTTTTCGATCCCGAAATTACGTTCCCGTAGGCTTGGCACTTTGCCTTGAAGGTAGTGGTTTCGGACGACAAGGAGTCTTCAATGGGCCCAAAAAAACGTTCCAACAAATGCTGACCGCGGTCCATTCCATGACATCCTCTCTGTCTGACGAGGGAATCCTGTCAACATTGATCACATTATGTCACGGCGGAATGAACTAGAATTCTTTATCTGTAGGTGTGGCCTTGAACATGAAACTTTACCACGCTGCTGTATGAAAGGACAATGCGCACTTTCGTTGTAGGCTACCTAGCTGAAGATCGTGCATGCACTGTCATTTGGAATTTTCGAGAATAGTGGACCACCTGGAGAATCTTGGAATACATGTCTTATCTTCTGTTTTACAGTTGAAAAAACGATACGGTAGCATCCCTGTTCTGAAGGTCCTTACTACCGACCCTCCGCCACCGACGCACGGATTGCAGTCCTCAAGTTTTGCCTAGCATTATCCAAACAGAGACCTCGTGGATTGCGACCTGATATTGCCGGTACAGGTGCGGGCTCTTCGAGAAACAGCAGGCTCGAGACGAGTCGCAGGTTACGAAGTCTGGATCGGCACCGCGAGGCCACCTCTGGCCTCCTTTCTGGGTTTCGGATCACCAGAGCAGCGGGTCACGTTCACGTCGGCTGATGACGTACCCTTGAGCCGTGCAATATTACGGGCGCAGCCGCAGATGCATTCGGATATGTGTTGAACTTCACAGCATGAGTCTTCCTACTATTTCAAGTCAGCCACCGCCTGGCTCGTGCTGCAACGTAATGTGACTCAGCTTTGCCGGCAGGGTGTAATCTGTACGTTAAGGCGAGAGAGACGGTTAGCAGCGGGCATTGGATGCCAGGAAACAATGACTCAAGAAATCCCTACCTAAGGACCTGCGGCAGAAGATGCTCTGACTCCACTCCTGGCACGCCACCTGGTTCGAGTTTCCCACTACGCAACACTTCTCAGAAGAGAGAATAGGAATAATAGAAAAATAGTTTGCAGAATCAAAAGGAACTAATTGGTCAGCATAGTAACAATACCCCAGCATCTCCTTGACTCTGGTACCCTTAGAAGTAAAAAAAAAAAAAAAAAAAATGCTTTCGAACTTGTTTTTTTTTTCTTTCGGGTTGGGGGGGGGGAGTATTTCTCAAGAATTGTAACGAAATACACTTCATCGTGATTGTATCGCGATACAAAGGAACATTCAAAATGTATTTCGATACAGGAATACAGATACTGGTGAAAAAAATGTATCGCGATACAGAAATACAGATACGAAATGTATTTCTGAAATACTATCGCGATACATTTGTATCGCGATACTGCCCAACCCTGGGCCCCACCCATTACTACTGAATTGGCTTGGCTGTTCGGCCAAACACGTTTGCAAGCCTAATGTGTCCCTGTCCCGATGTCCGATGCGTCTAGTCTGCCGTCTGACACCATCTGCTAGTCGTGCGGGCAGACGCACGGCAACATACGGCATCCTCTGCCATTAGACCGCACTCCACTACCACCTAGAACGCCTGTAAGACGCGGCCACGAAAGCGTCCCTTGAAATGCATTTCATTGGAGCGAAGGTTTTGTGGTACTTGTATATACTATTTATCAAACAAGGTCATTTTAACTTTTTGAAAAGATTTTCGAGCCAGTAAGGAAAGAACAATGCGTGAGCAAAATTGGAAACATACAGAAATCATGAGTGTTCTACGGCTTTTTGATAGATGGCGCCAGTGTGTTCTGTCATCGCGAGAGGTCACAGGGGGTCTTAATGTACTTGGTCGTAAGCAGTCGGAAGTGTGAATCAGACCTTTACCCCGACTGCAAAAGGAGCCGACGGTTCCAGTGGCGCCGGCGTTAATATGAATTATATGAGACGTTAAACCTCCAAAAAACATTTGATTAAAATGTGTGGATAGGATGTGTATATCATAAAATAAACTCCCCCCCCCCCCTCCAAAAAAAAGAAAAAAAAAGAAAACATTTATTTTAGCACAATATTTGTAATTTTAGGCATAGGTCCCGACCAATTAAATTTCACAATTTGTAGGCCACGTAACAGAATGTGTAGCTCGCTTACAGTCTTAAATGAAGGATGGTGCACATATCCTTGATCTAATTGACGGTGTGAACCGGTCGGGCTTGTATATCTCGAGGTAAGCATTTTGGACTCTACCGACGGCAACTCTCGGGACAACAACTGGGCCGGGGGATTTTCTGCCATAGAGAAATTTTCTTCCATCTATCCCTCCCCTCTTGGAGAGAGCAACTTTATTTTGAACTTACTGGGAGTGATCTTAGACTGCAATGACTTTATACTTGATAACATTCAACTTGATAACATTCAACTTGCAGGCTCAAGACATGGTTATCAGGATAATGATGTCCCCTAAATATGCAAATATATTGTAGGTTTGAGAAAATCTTTGCGTGGATGCACATTTGGATGTCTGCCATTATGTTATATCGATGATATAAGCATTTCCCCTAGTGCGGCTCACTTTGCAGTTTTAGCCATTCGTTAAACATTTAGGTGCCTTTTACGCGGGCTTTGTGTTCCTGTCACACTATGGCCCCGGACACCGCTGCATCAGTGACCCCCGAATTTCGTCTTTTGGGAGAAGAGGTGAAACGAGAGGGAGAGGGAATGGAAACAAGAACGTTGGGAAAGTGTTCTCTGCGCGGCAGAGGATGGATCTCTAGGTCGGCCTTTAAAGGACCGTGTTGCCGTGCGACTGCATATGACGCATTTTAACTGCCATGGTTACTCTAGAAGCGACATGTTCCTTTTGCTTTTCTTTATTATTCATGATGGCCATGAGAAGACCAGACATAGAACTGGGCGTTCGTTGGCCCCAGGATGCACGTTTGGCGGTTAGTTGCGTAATGTGCCGAGAGGCCTCCTTAGTTCTGGCACAAATTGTTTTTTTTTCCCCCCCCGAAAGATTGTTTGTTTTTAGTAATCACTGTTTCCCGGCCAATGGTGACCTTGGAGGAAAAGGGGTTAGTTGGCTAGGCAGGAGATCAGCGAGCATTGCTACCTGGGAAGGACAGTCATCTTTGGTTCACTTGGCAGGTCACATGACTTAAAAATGGCATTTTTCAACTTTTCTCGATCGCACACCAAAAAGTATCCCACTCCTAATTTTCACCGGATTTCCTCTTGATTTTTGGTGGGCTATCTTATGAGTAGGGTTCCGTGTTTTTGGATAAATCAAATGCTTCGTAAAACACTCGCCGGTCAAGTTTTCGTCAATTTGGATTTATCTGAAGAACTCCAAAATTCGAGATCGCAATATCCAAATAGAAAAACAACAACGGTGTTTGAAATTTTGTAACAGCATAAAGGCCCGTTCACTCTCTTGCAACCGAGTACGACCGAGAAAGACCAGACCGGTTTGTAAGCCTCTTGCGACTTCTTAGGACCAGCTCCGCTGCTGCGCATCCGGTCCTAAGAAGTCGCAAAAGGCTTAAAAACTGGTCTGGTCTCTCTCGGTCTTACTCAGTCGCAAGAGTGTGAACGGCGCTTAAGGTTGGTGGTCCCGAGGAAAAGCTACGTCAGTCTCCTTTGAAATCTCGGAGTATTGACAAAAGGGGGCTTACGGTTTATCTCATTGAGGTTCGTTCAGAACAATGGGTCATTGTACTTCTGGGTCACTACAAAAGCCACTCTTCTGATTTTGCATCTTGGAACATACTCTTTGCACTTCGTAAAGGGACGAGGGGTTGTGCTTTTGTAACAGTGAAAGCTATGAACGTGTAGATTTCTTAGGAGAGGGCAGGGCAGCTGGAGGTTTTATGCTTCCCATCGACTACATAGTACAGGTGTTTACCGTAGAATACCATGCATCTGTCCATTCCACACTAAGCACCCATTCCCAAATTTGTAAGATCTGAGAAAATATGCATAGTACAGTTATACGTAAAATTGATGACCAGACAGGCACCCATCCCCTATTTTTTCGCGATTATCTTCAAAGTTTTAGCAGGCGCGTGCCCGGTATTTTACGGTAGTTATTTCGAAATATTGACTTTAATTTATGCAAGTTTTCTTTGCAATATTTGTCGTAGGACAGTTAGTATTGCCAATTGGCAAGACCACCAATGCCAACCAAATGCAGCTGCAGAAATGTAATTCGATACAGGTGAGTTTTAATAAATTTGGGGTATGTTTGTGTCTGGACATTATTTATTTATTATTTTGAAAAATTGAAAACACATAAAATTAACCTCAGAATTCTGAGGAATAAAAATCTAAAAAAAAACAACAAAAAAACTGATAAATTCAGAATGTTTAGCGAAAAATATATTCAGAAAAATATCTTCAGAATTTTATGAAAAATAAACTCCGAAAACACGGAACCCTACTTCTAGGATATTGGGGTAGTGCCTTGTTTCTTTTATATGGTCCATTGTCAGTAAGGACATCCCTACCCCTGGCCTTTAACCTGTGCCGGCAGCTGAACTAGAAACGTGCCATCGATGGAACTTGTGTTTTGACAATTAATGTAGATTCTTCGAGAAATCTATCCCAAACGGTGCAACACTAGTTGTCAAAGCTGTTTTAACGAGGTAATTTTGTGCCGGTCTACAAAGACCTAAAAAGGAAGGGAGTACCGACGAGTAAATGGCGTCTTTCCGCACGCAAATAGTTCACCCACTTTTTGTATACACTTGGCTGCCTTTCTTTCATCAGCAGGTGCAATCTTGCACGACCTCCTTATTTGGCGACGTGCCTCTTATCTCCTAAGTTTTTTCCGGAGGATGTAGACTCTCTGCAACCACCCCAAATTGGGTGCTAGCATAGCTCGGCGTTTTTTGCCGGTTCTCAAACTTTTTCGGCCGGCGTTTCGGCTTCCTTTGGTTGCGGCTGTGCCATGAAAGGAAACCTAAGGTTGTGAAACGATGCCCGGTTGTATGCCCAGGTGGCCACCCTGTCGGATGTCGAGCAGCCCCCCATGGCGCTGGAGGAGTGCCAGCTCTACATGTCTGCTCTGGAGCTGCTCGAGAGGGACGCCATCCCGTGCCGGACGTTCAGGTGCGCCCCTGGCCCTTGGGCCACTAAACCCCTTAGAGATGCGACACTTTATTCCCCGATTGGCTTTTGGGCGCTGCCATGTAAAAACCAGCAGCTTTATAAGCCCAACCATGCTCAAGGTCACAACACCTGTGGCTGAAGTGCTCGTGGCTGAAGCGTAAGGTGCAGTTGCATAAGCTCATAAGCACTGGTTGCGTAAGCTCTATGCACGTAAGTGCCGGTCGCATAAGCTCTTAAGCACCGGGAGTTGAAGTTGATGTGACCTGACATCCTTGATGTCCTCCTAGAGGTTGTCCTTGAGGTCATTCTAGACATCATCCTCTAGGATGTTGTCCTCAACAATGTCTTTGAGGTTGTCCTAGAGGTCGTTTTTGACGTCATCCTACATATTGTCCTTGAAGTCATCCTAGAGGTCGTCCTAGACATCGTTCTTGACATTGTCCTCTAGGACGTCATCCTCGACATCATCTTTGAAATCCTAGATGTTCTTGACGTCGTCCCAGACGCCGTCCTTGTCATGTCCTCGACGTCGTCCTAGAGGTCGTTGTAGATGTCGTCCTATACATCTTCCTTGAGGTCGTCCTAGACGTCGTTCTTGACATCCTCGATGTCGTCCTCAATCTGTGGACGGCATATCACAACCATTCCATTACCGTACCGTTTTCTTTCCTAATTGCTTTCACTAACAATGTTCCATAAAGCTACCATATTTCATTGCATTTGGTCAAATGAACAAAGCTGCCACAATTTTTGTTTCTGAGTTCTGCATATGATGTCGGGGAGCTCGGGCGACATCACTCTGCTTGGTTGTGGACTATTTTGAGATTTCTGGAGGACGGAATGGAGTCTTTTGCGATTTCACACAAAGGTTGGGATTACTGGCAACAATGATTTGGAGCAACAGGATTGCTGAAGTGTCGTTACTTTTAAGGAAACTTGTGCCAGCGGAAACCTTACTTTTTAAATATTTGTTAGTTTTTATATAGCTTGTTCTGGATGCAATGCACGGGAAAAAAACATGTTCTTTGCGTGCATGTGGGGTCTGGCAAAACATATAAAAGAGCGTAGTAAAATAGGTCAATTCACTTTTTTTAAGGCACTAAGTGCTATGAAAAACAAAAAACTTTTAGCCTTTCCACTCTGGTGAAGAAGGAAGAGCAGCAAAGCTGTATCTTCTGTTCTCAGCGGCGGCCTTTCAGGACAGCAATCTGCTCTTCTTTCGCAAGGGAATCTGAAGCGCTCGGCACAGTGGAACTTTAGGCTTTAGCGGCCTCGCGGCAATTGTGGAACCATCCGCGCTGCCGCTTACATCGCCGCTTGTTCCATTCCCGCTCTTCTTCCTCCGAAGAAATTTTGCCGCCATCTATGAGCAACGGCAGCATCCAGTTGTCTGGTTGCTGAGCCTGGAAAGGTTGCCACGATCTATGGGCGACGATGGCAAGCAAATAACCAGCAAACACAACACTCTGAACGGCTACCGCCATCTCCGAGCGACGGTCGTAACCAGAGTGTTGTGTCGACCACGGGTGTCGACATTTGTTTGGTACCGGACACGATCCTGGGGAAACCAGCCCTTAATAGCTCCGCTGTAAAAAAACTTTGTACAAGAAGTTTTTTTTTTAAATAAATGAGAATTGCAAAAACACCATTTTCAAAAGGCTAACAAGAGTTTTTAAAAGTTTATAAAAATTATACATTCTTATTAAACCATGATAGTGGCATTTTGCATATCCTCAAGCTTGCGCATGGCAAATTTGGTCGTCGTAAGACAGCATTAAGAGCAAAAATTCTTGTACGCAAACTGTGAAGATGTCTCAAAATTGCAAAAAGAGAAAACGCATTAGAGTATTACCATAGATGCGTATGCGGCACTCCTTCGCGATGGTAAAAAAAAAAAAGATTTTGGTATAATTTTTGTGAAAAATTGAAGCTACAAAAGATTGCGATGGGGTAAAGATGGTTAGGCCTACTTCTCAGAATGATTGTAATGCAAGGGTTCATATCACATGAGCAAAGGACGTTTTAGCAAACAGTGCCATTTGAGCAAATCGATGTTTTAGTGAAAAACGGGGGCTCGTGTTAACCCACCCATTTTTATAATGAGACGCCGCAGACTGCCGCCGCTTCGCGGCGTCAGTTTGCAGCGGCTCATTGCAAAAATGTTAACCCACTTGGCCCACCTGTAAACGCACTGGCTGCCGACTATTCTATGAAAAGTTGACTTTCGCTAAAACATCGTTTGACCAACTGAGTGCCACCCGTGATGGCAGGTGACGTCACAATGTGAAGAACCGCTCACATAAACATGGCTCATATTTATGCCTTTCTCGGTCACCGGGAGGTCTTTAAATACGAACTTGACTAATTTTACGACCATATTCAGTCCTTATATTTTTATACATAAAGTATGACGATTTAAAGGGACACTTACACCCCCCAAAAATTTTTTTTTATTTTTTTCCAGGCGATTTAATATGGTGTCAAGAGACCACGTCCAATAAATATTTTGCTGCAGTCACATTTATTTTTAATAAAGACAATAGACTCAACTGCTTGAAGCCGAAAATGAAACATGAGCACGGAACCTCATGGCTGGAAGTCACATAGCTACACCCGACCGTGTATTTTTTTTCTTCGCTTCTCTGGCGTGTGAAGCAGACGACGACGACAACAACAAAGTTGCGTGCCCCGTTTGTCGTGCGATTGTTTCGCACTTATATCCCTCCCGCTCGATGTTCTGCGTTTCAAGATCGATTGGCCAGTGCCAGTACCACGAACGACAGTTCCGAGGTAGCGGCTCCACGTCCGTCGCAACGTTGGTCCGTTGTGCGACGCCATCGCGTCATTCAGCCCGCAGTATGTCGCCGTATTGAGAATGATAGTAGCAGATGTATTTCCTGTAATCTGAGCAAAATTTTTTTTTTCATTTAATTTATTTACAGCTTTTTTAAGGCCACCAAAAAGGGTTTCATATTCTTTTCTGTTTTTAATATTGAATGTATGCCTTAGATGACCCATGAATTTGAATATATTTGGAACACAGTTTAAATGCCACGTGATCATGGAAAAGAGAGTGAGCGCAACTGAAATTGGCCAATCCTCGACCGGCTGTTTTCGGGCGGAAAGAAAACGAATTTCGAGTCGCAAATTGTGTTCTGGGTAGTTGGGCTTTTATAGTTCATGTTCAAATAAAAACCTTGACGAGCATAAATACCCTGTCAGTGTCCTTTTAAAGGGGCGGTGCAATGATTTTCGCATTTTGGCCAATTAAATGCGAGAATTAATCTATGTCACCGATGAGAAGAACAGAAAACCATACTTTCTTGTGAGCGTTATTTTTATGTAAAAACATGAAACAAATTGAAGGTCAGAGTGCCTCTCAACTCTCCACGTCACCTTTCGAGTGACATACTCTGGAGTATCACGCGGTTTCCCCTTGGGTTCTTTCTTCAGAAGCCCCGGCCGCTTCCTCTCCAATTGTCAACTTTTCAAAGATTGGCATCGTCGAAGATTGCGGCGAGCGATTCACACGAAAGACGGTTCGCCACGGGGGTGACGGCAAGTGTAGCAGCGGAGGAGGTCAGGTTTTTTTACTTCTACGTGTCCCCCAGAGGCGCTGTCATCGTAGTTCCCGCAACCGCCAGACGCAGCTGTAGATCGGCAAATAATTTGTTTTTTTTATGCAATTACGCAGGGGAATGGCAGTTTTTCGGGGCAAGGTGACACATTTTGATCACTTGTGCTTGGATAAACAATATAAAAAATACAAACTGCCAATTATTTCAACATTAAAGTCGTTGCACTACCCCTTTAAGGATAATAAAGCACACTAAAACTCGGAATCACATTTTTTGCGAAATATTTGTTTTTTGACTCACTCTCCCTTTAAGCGTAGCTTTACAAGTGGCTCTAGCCAGCCCCATACAGGTGATTCTTTACATTGTGGGGGAGCTTACCTTGGGAGCTGAAAGCGGCCTACATTTCGATTGGACTGCAGAAAATTGGTGACACAAATAAGTCGCCCTCTTGAATACGTTCGTCGGATTTGCCAAAAGACCCTTCCAAAGCTATGATTTGGTGGTTGAGAGATCTCAATTAAAGCCGCAGAATGTTCCTAGACTACCAATGTGACCAAGCTTCGTAGCTGTAATAGGCAGGCATTCTAAGTTCATGTTGTCATATTGTTAGAAAAGGTATGGCCCAAGACAGGGGCCATAGCTTTTCTAACAATAACAACCAGAAGCTGCGCCTCCAAGCGCGCGCTCGTTGCCTTCTGCCGAGTTTTGACTGCACACACAACAAAGTGTTATCAAAGTCACAACGCCCGCACTCGAGACTGAGCATCTACCGAGTTCTTAACTGGTCACCAATTATAGTAAGACTTGCCATGGAGGGTGCCTTTCATGTTGTTCTCTATGTTTTCTGCTATGTGCCATCTGTGGTCTGTACCACAGAGATTTTACAGCGATAGCTGTTATGAGCTCTCCCCCCACTTCAAATGGTGTAGTTTGTTGTAAGGCGTCCGTCGTCGATATCATTACGACACCATGATGTCACAGGGTCACCTGACATCATAATATAGTGTGACGTTGCGGTGTCACGTGACATTGGTATGCCATTTGACATGGCGTCATAGCATCACGTGATGTCATATGGTATAATGCCATTCTGTGATGTCACAGTGTCACATGGTATCATACCATTCTGTGGTGTCAACGTCACATGACATCACACTATCGCGTGATGTCACAATGTCACATGATGTCACACCATCTCGTGATGACATCACGCCATCGCGTGATGTCAATGTGGAACTATTGGCAATGGTTCTGCCATGTAAGGTCCTAGGTACAGTAAACTCTCGCTTGGAGCAAACTTCAAGGGACCCAAGGAAATAGTTCACTAAAAGTTCACTAAACAGAATATGGAACAGCATAGGACACAACATACATTGAGCCAAAAGTGTGAAATGCATATTATGGAGTCATGTATATCGATGTATACAAAGTGCATAGCAGTTACGTTGCTGCCTTTCTCATTTTGCAAAAAGAATCTGTAAATTTAATTTACACCAGCGCTCTTAAAGTGCATGAAGTAACAAAGCCGTCCAGAGAGTATGTCTTTTTGCACTCCCTCTGGCACAGCTTATTGCTGTGACGAAGCCATACCGCAATGGCGTCATCCACTGGCTTGAAATATTCCGTGCAGAGTCGTTTCCTGTTGGGATTGAACGCAGTTTCTCTTTCAAGCTTCGAATTTTGCTTCACTGTCGTTGACAACGTCGACGGTGAAACCTCATAGTCTTTTGCAACGTCCGCTTGCCTTTGACACTAAAGGATTTTTTAGCTTGTCTAGTAGAGACAACCGCTTCCGTTTCATCATACTCTATACAAAAGTGTGCGCACAAACTGCCGTCCTGCTGTTGTTACCCAAAACTAAGATGGCCAAACAGAAAAAATGACAACGAAAAAACAGACACATTACGTGGTTCATTTTCATGTACTGCACCGCCGCTTTGCCTCGGCAACGCTGTAAACGCCAGCGATGATACGCAGCTGATGCAGAGGCAACGGCGGCAGTGCGGCGGGCATCGGCTACTTCAGCACTGCAGAGCACAAAACTTCGTTGAACTGACTGCAAAAATAATCCTGGGTTCACCGATCAAGTTCGTTGAACTGAAATGTTTGCTGTTCCGAAATTCGTTTTTCGTTTAAAGGGACAATGAAGGCAATTTAGGAAATCTTTTTGGCGATTGAACTGGGTTCCAGGCACGTCTCAGGCCACGTTGCCCAAATTTTAGCCGAAACCGGCGCTTGTATGCTGCGCAAATCAATTAAACAGTCGCGGTAATAATCGTACCAGAATCGACTGGAGCGACGCCCTGAGAGTTGCGGGAGAAGCCAGGAGAAGCGGAGCTCACGTGACCGTTGCGGGGCCAAGAAGCGCGACGTCACAAGAGACGCCTCAGCGATTGGTTGAAACGAGAGACGCGCCCTCGGTCACGTTTTGATTCTCGGTTTTTAGGAATACTGTTCTAATTTCCGCTTGAATAGCCATGAAAAGATAAATCGGACCGGAAATGATTACTAAACCGTAAATAAAGCAGCATAATTGTTTTTTTCTTTGCTACGCTGGACGCGAAACGGCCACCGAGCAACTATGGGCACTTCGGCATGCGGGCCGCTCGTTATCGGCTGGGCGGTCTCCCTCGGGTGATGGCGGAGGCCGCCACACACATACTCCCGTTCCGTTTGTGTTGGCTTACCGAACGGAAGCTCGAACTCGCTCGCGAGAGCGGCATTGCTGTCTATGTTGACAGATTCAACGAAACGACCGCGCCACCGCGCCAGCGCGCTGCTATAACCCACCGCGGTAACAAGAGTCTCGATCTCCTAAATACTATTGATACCGACTATTCACACTTGACGTCACTCCCTACGTCACCTCTGTTTTCGGAAACCCAGAAACGAGAATGGAGATTGTTCAATTTCGGTTTCTTTACTTCTTTCGTAGGCACAGAAATACGCGTCACAAATGTCTACAAAAAATTGGGCAGCATGCTATGTTCCCAAGAAGCATAAAAACACCATTTAAAAAAATTAAATAAAATCATCTTCATTGTCCCTTTAAATGAAAGATTTTTGCATAGAAATGCATAAGAAAACTGCCAGAGATTTTTTTTAAAAGTTCGTTATTCTGAAATATTTGTCAAACCGACGTTCGCTCAAGTGAGAGTTTACTGTACCAAAGTGTAAGATACAAAAGGATACATTGAAGTCTGATGAGACGTCGCAGCTATCACTGTAACTGCACTGTGGATTCACACAGGACTGCTAATTTTTTCATTTGCTTCGTGTACACATTGTTTTTTGCATTCCAGCTCTTTGCTCGCCCTTTCACGTCGGAAACTGGGGGTGCTCTAATGAGGGTTCCTTGGTTCTGCTCAGAGGGCACGATGGAACTGCTCGCGATCGGCTGGCAAAATGTTTTTTCCGAATGCAAACAATGCTTTTCACTGTCTCACTGTAGTGCTGCAGCCAGTATGAGGTTGTACCTTATTAGAGAATTTGAGTATTGTGTATAGAAGAAAGCGCTGTGCATTTCTGTTAGAGCTGCGTGGTCCACGCTGCACATGTGCTTTGTCGCTATGCTCCGAGACTGCAATTTTGGGCTTTGTGCACGTGCAATGTGGAACACGCATTGCTAAAGCAAACATACAGTACTTAAGTACTGTATGTTTGCATTAGCAATGTGTATAATTGCATAAAAGAGCGAATGCAATGCATTTTCTCTTATATGCAATACCAAAACTCACTACTGCTTCACCGGTTTCCAATGGTAAAGAAACATGCTGCAGTGAGCAGACGTGTAAGCAGGTAGGCATTCCTCTGATCTGGAAAGTCTGAGATTGGCAAAACGATGGTGCGTAAGAATGAAAGAAACTAAATGCTGTGGAAAAATTCGCATAACTAACAAAAAAAAAAAATTTTTTTTTTTGGCATTTGGTTTGAAAGAGTGGCGACGACTTTGGAAGTTTGACTGATCGTCAAATGTCGTGACTTTGGTAGCACCATATGCTTTACCCACAATTAATGTAATTTTACATGGATTTATCAGTTTAGCTAGAATGGTTTTATTGATTTTAGTCTATTTTTTATTTTATAACTTGTTAATTGAAAATGCTGCAATAACCACTTTTGATTGTCATACTTGTTTGCACATTTAAAATTAGATCATAAGTAACAAATTATATTAGAGCTTGAAAAACCCAATAGCAAAATACCTTAATCATATTATTATTATTACTATGAATTGCAGCAAAGCAGGCCCCCAGTAAATTCCACAGTCACAAAAATTAAGCAAGTTAACCATAATAGTCTTCCAAAAAGTCTAATTTATTTTCCTTTTTAGCATATGAAAATTTCAGACATTGTTATGAAGATAGACAAACTGTCAAACACAAATGTAATATAAAGTCCTATGCATCATACGTTGCTTTAAAAATACACACTTCTGCTGTCTGACTCAGATTTAGTCTTTGGGTTTTTGTTGTGAGAACAGTGTTTCTGAATTTATATTTATTTATTATTTATTTATACCTGCTGCTGGCCCATGGGCCATGGCATGGAGGAACAACATATAACAAAACCGTACAGTTCATACCTCCAATAAAACTTTGAACAATACTGTATTTACAAAATTGGATACAAGACGTGCCCAAAGGAAAAGAGAAAGGAAACTAAATGCACGTAAAAAGAAAGTTATAATTACTTGAACAATAAAAATATACTGACCACAATAAGCAACGATAATCGAAGGCACGTGCCATGTACATTCAAACTGATAACAAAGAGTATGTTTTGTGGAAGTATTCTAAACTCATCCCCCGTGGCAATATTTTGTAAAATTTGGATTGATTCCGTTGTTCTTGCGCTGGGAATAATGTTGGAGCAATTAATCTTCTAAATACTTAAAAACCCATCAGGAGGCCCGCAGCTCATTATTTCACATGACTGACTTGAGCAAGAAAAGGAAGCAGAAACACAAATATCAGCACTGGTTTTTTCAGCGAATACAACATTTCATGTTACCTTTAGGTGTGTGAAAGACTCTGTCTTTAAAGGGACACTGAACTCTCTAAGATATTTTGGAGTGCCGGGATCGGACACGGATGTCACAAAATAAAGTTTCTGCAAACAACTGCTTTAGCTCAATAATTGCACTGTGGGACGCACCTTGAGCTATAAAAGAATCCGCAGTTAGCACCTATTCCGAGAGACTAAATTTAAAATAGAGCTTAGTTTCGGTTTTGTTCCGAAATGAAAATGTGCCTCGCAGTGTAAATATTAGGTTAAACACCGTTTTTGTTTTCAGGATAAAAGAGGCAAGCTGTGCTCATAACAGCCTAGCTTCCTCGTATAAGCAGAAATAATTTTTGTTGCTCGGATTAAGCCAGCACACTAGACAGGCTCAGCAACTGGAATACCGGCACGCACCTTCAACCCTCACTATAACCGCCATTTTGGAAAACGAGTGGTGCCACCTATAGCGAATTGTTGGAGTCGCAGTAAGCACTCAATGTTATTGTCCCGAGGCATTTCTTTCTTCACTAAAGGGACTCCTAACTGTCACTTGTCCTAAGGCTGCTATGAAATGGTCGGGGCATTCAGAAAGTGTGTCGCTTGTTTCTTTGGCAGAAAGCAAAGGCGTATATACCCGTCCTTTTCTTTAATTTTTCTGTGCAGGTTGGAGACGCTATGCTGCAGAACGGAAAACGAGTACCTAATCAAGGTGCACTGTGTGCGGCTCGCATTTCAGGTGAGCATCGTACCTCGAGACGCGCAGGTCTTTTGCGAATCCCAGTCAAGGCCATTTCTTGGTGCAACGAATATTCAGCCTAGGCGGCCATTGCCTTGTAAATGAAGTTGGCTTTTCTGCTTTATCCTTTGAACCAGGTAACATCATGTTCTCAAACTTTCGCATTCTATTGCCACCGCTAGCGTCGCATCCTTAGGGAGCTTCAGCTTTCCGCGACGCATAATTTATTTATGCATGTAGAAAAATGTGGCTTTGTTTTTCCTATTGGACCGTGTTGAAGAAGAGGGTAGACAGGGCCAGGTCAGGGGAACGGGCAAGTATGATGAACGTTTTTTTCCGAAGCCGGTCGTTCTGTCCTTCGTTAAAAAGCGCCTGCGCTCTCGCGGTAAGCGTTCCGACATTGCACCGGTGCATGCGGAAAAACACAACCTCAACGTTGGCAACCAAGTCGACAGATGAAACCAGGAGCACCTCGAGGATGCGCAGGTGTGGCTTCCTTTGTGCAGCACCTGACAGAGCAGGAGGGCATCCGGCACTGGCTCATCAGCGCTGGCAGCCGGGTCCTGGGTGCGCTGATGCTCCGCACTGGCAGGGTGGGTGTTCCAAGGCACGCCTCGCGCGCTCTTCAGTTCCTGTAGGCCGCCCCAAGCTCTTAAACTGCTAGGCGTTCTCGAGAGCTGTTCAGCCGTAGAAGCAAGCCAATGAATGGAGTGCAGTGAAACCTCGCACTAAGATGTGTTTGGGTGGTGCCAGTGGCGTCACTGGGGGGGGGGGGGGGGGGGGGGGGGGGGGGTGGAGTGGAGTGGAGTGGAGTGGAGTGGAGCGGAGTGGAGTGGAGTGGAGTGGAGCGGAGTGGAGTGGAGTGGACCGCATCGGGTGCATGGCCCGGGGGGTGCAGCTGGGCAGTGAGGGGAGGAGGCGGGGGGGGGGGGGGGGGGGGGGGGGTCGCGGCGGGCCACCGCTCTTGGTCTCTGGCCCTAGTGATGCCACTGGGTGGTGCATTTATCATGCTCAAATTTTGTGTGCGGGCCTCTCGAAAAAAATGTGAGAAAAGAAAGACGTGTTATTCCTATGTACTGGAAGAAGATCGGAACCAAACCGTCTAGTCGGTGCCACTGCTCTCGGATGGCACCATGCAAAAACGTAAAAGTCGAAATCTTCTTTGAGACAAGCAGTTTAGAGCAAATCGAGTGTACGTGGCATCATCCTTGAGCTACGACGTCCACCAGACGATTTGTTTACATTCTTTCTCCCAGTGTATAGGAATGGCACATTTTTCTTGTCTCGCATTTTTTCCCGGAAGCCTACTTTTATGAAATTTGAATACCATAAAATGCCGCGGAAGTGCCCACTTTGTTCAAGCACCCACTATCAACATTTCCTGCTAAACTTGGGAATTCCTCAAATTATATGTTAACAGCCTGATTTGACCGGACAAGCATTCAATACCGGGGCTGGGCGCTCTTTCGGTATTTTACGGTATAATAATTGTCTCACCTAAAGACACATTTGTACAAAGTTTCATTGTACCCCGTTTGTTATCCTATTTATACCTCTTTTTTACGGCGGAATAGTGCTCGATAACATCCTATGGTGTGGGCTAAACGGAGCAAACCTAAGAAGTGGGCAAAATCGCTTTGGCAAGCTACTTTAATGTACAGTCGTGATCTGTACGGCAGGGAACGCCCGATCATTGACCGGTCTTTACCGACAGCGTTGTGAAGTGGCGGCCACGCTTTGCAAACCAAGCGTGGCAAGGCGCGAAGGCCACCACAGTCGCCGCTTTACGATGCTGCCATTACGTAGTGGTCGACGATTAGGCGTTCGCCTACGTACGAATTGTGACTTTGTTATACTCGCGGATTAATTTCTGCGGCCATGCAGTCAAAGTTATGGGCCCAGATGTGCTTGCACACCTTAAGCACCCACCAAAGCTGCACACGTGCTCTCTCTGCTTTTTCCGAAATGCCACAAAAAGTCCATGAGAGTACCGAGCCCTCGTAAACGTCCTGATTGAATATGCTCGGGAAGTGTCGTTTTTTCATCGTAATTATCGCACCCGCTCCGCGCCAAGCAACAAAATGGTGGCACCCTCGATAGAGTCGGGGAATGTAACGTCGCTCATTTAATGGCTCCACTCGTACTTATGGCCGAGATCCCTCACTGGGCCAGCGGGCCATCCTGCGGGATGTGTCCAGAACTCTAAAATTTGGGGCGCTCGAGCCGACTCTCGGCTTCCGCCCCCCCCCCCCCCCCCCCCCTTTGACCTATTGCCAATAGGGTTGTCCGTGTGCTGCAGGACCCCAAGGAAGCGCTGCAGGCGTACGACGAGCTGCTGGTCTACGTGCTGGAGTCGCAGCACCTGGAGCAGACGGAGAAGGAGCTGCTCGCCAAGGGGGCAAGTGCTCCCTCCCTCTCGCATGGGTCGGCACCGTGTGGCTGCCGAATCGGCGCTCGCCTTCGGGTTGCGCGTTATGCGAACGGCAACGACATTGACCGACTCCCACCTCGTGACCGAGGGGGAGTTTACTTCGATGACGTCGCCTTTTCACCTTTGGACGGCTTGGCGTCGCCTTGGAGAAATCTATATTTTTCGCTCGTGACTCCGACCTTCTTCGGCAACTCATTCAATCGAGATACTGCGTCATTATGGGGAGAAATGTTATTCAAAAGGTTTATGAAAAGAAAACATAATACCTGTCGGATCCTACTTATCTTATTTTTATTAAACCACAAAGACGTTGATTCTTAAATATTACAGTACAATATTGCAATCATGTTTAAAAATCGTGTTTTCTGGACTGTCTAAAACAATCGTGTGACACCCTATGGCAGCATGAGCAACAAAACATTGTGGTAGCTATGTAAAATGTTGAACAGATGTTAAACTTTATTTAATCTTCAAATAATAAATTTGGAGCGATAAAAACATTGAGTTATTTATTGGCATTCTTGTATTAGTCTATACCAGAAGTGGCCAAGCTGTACGAGCCGCCTGCGGCTCTTCGCGTGTTAAAGTGCGGCTTGTGGCTCGCAGCCCCCCCTATCCCCCTTTCCACTTCCACGCCTCCCTCCCGGTCACACGAGCACTTCCCCAAATAGAGAAATGGAACTCGTTTGAAATTGAAAGACAGGTTGCGGTTCGTTAGTCTTGTGCTACTGCTACGTTACGTACAGTTGGACTGCTTTTCACTCGAAAGTAGTTTGAGTTTTGTTTGTAGCCCTGAACAAAAGTTCGCCCCCCCCCCCCCCCCCTTCCCCCCACAGCTCTTGGAAGTTTCATGGTTCTGTTTGCGGCTTTTAGGCCAGGTCAGCCTGGTCATCCCTGGTCTATACGATGCTACTACATCACGTATTATAGTCTATACAACGCTACTACATCACGTGGTTGCAATATAATTTGAGTTTCAAACACGTGAAGGTCTTTTGTCATTTGGTAACCATTGTAACAATCGTAACCATGCTGCTCATCCCGCCGCTGCTCGCATTAGCTGTGGAACCTGATTCTGGGTTAGGATTATAAGAAAACATAAAGTGGAAGTAATAAAAAATTATGATTCCATCAAGATTCAAACTCAGAACTTCGCGAAATCAGTAGCAAGGGGGATGCTCGTGCGTGACCTATAGACCAGGGGTTCTCAAACTGGGTTCCGGGGAACACAGGGGTTCCACGAGCTGGTCTCATGGGTTCCGTGAACACCCAAATTGCAACCCCCTCCCCTCACCCTCCCCCCCCCCCCCCCCCCCCCCACGCCGCAGGCTGCGCAGCAGGATTATGCGAAGCGCCTCCATCTTACTTTGCACTGACATTGCGATTGATATGGTGGGGATATATGGCAAGCAACACAAGCAAAATTGCCTACAATAGTGCATCTGTTGCTTCTCGGTCAGCAAATATGGAGTGGGGGGGGAGGGTTCCGCGGCAGTCTTTGAGGCTTCCTGGGGTTCCGTGAGACCAAAAAGTTTGAGAACCCCTGCTATGGACTATCAGCACATCCGTCTTGGGCCGCTTATTTACGCAGGTGTAGTCCTAGGGAGTTGTAGTAGTCCTCTCACGACCAGCTTTATGGTCGTGAGTTTTTGGTTAGTTTTCTTTTATCGCAGTCTTCCTCAGAATTAACTTGACATGCCACTCCTCAAGTATGCAAAGGTGATTCATTTCGCTTAGATTTACAGCCTTGTCCTTTTTTGCAAGCAGATCAGCAATTTTCTCATCAAAGCGAGAGCATATTTGCGGCTCGTCAATTGACAACTTTTTTGAGATGTGGCTCGACTGATTGAAGTTGCAAACAATCTCCACAAACTCTCCGTGTTACATGCCATACAGTAGCATAAACAACATAAAAGGTCGGCGTACGGCTCGAAACCTAGAAGCCGACTGCAGCGTAATAGGTAACACTACAGCACAGTGAGGTTGGCAGTGGTGGAACTGACAAATGGTGATTTGGACCAGCTCTTGTAGCAGGGAACAACGGGTTTTGGAGCAGATATTCCCACTTTTGGAGCAGGCAATTTCGAGCTTTCATGTCAAAATATTTTATACAATCTTTTTATAGTTAGCGTGTCGAAAAAACTGCAGTTGTTTGAGTGGAGGCTATTTAAGGTATCATATCTACAGGGGACCTGGTCATTACACATATTTATTTCTTTATTAAACATACCCCGGTAATTTTCCAGATGTCTTAATTAACCTATTAAGAGTACCGATAATGTCTTCAGTTTGTGTTTAGTGTAAAAAAAAAAGAAAGCCGTTTACAATTCCCTGTAACGTCGAATTAGAGCACAGCTCTTGAGGAGGAGGATGGAAGCGTACTGAGGGATAGGTGATCCCTTGAGGTCACGTGACCTCAAAGGGGGGGGTCATGTGACCTCGGGGGGGTCGCGTGACCTCAGGGGGGTCGCGTGACCTCAGGGGGGGTCGCGTGACCTCAGGGGGGTCGCGTGACCTCAGGGGGTCACATGACCTCAGGGGGGTCACGTGACCTCAGGAGGGTCACGTGACCTCCGGGTTGTCACGTGACCTCCGGGTTGTCACGTGACCTCCGGGTTGTCACGTGACCTCCGGGTTGTCACGTGGCCTCGGGGGGGTCACGTGGCCTCGGGGGGGTCACGTGACCTCAGGGGTGTCACGTGGCCTCAGGGGGGTCACGTTGCCTCAGGGGGTCACGTGACCTCCGGGGTGTCACGTGGCCTCAGGGGGGTCATGTGACCTCAGGGGTGTCACATGGCCTCGGGGGTCACGTGACCTCCGGGGTATCACGTGGCCTCCGGGGTGTCACGTGACCTCGGGGGGTCACGTGACCTTGAGGGGGTCACGTGACCTTGGGGGAGTCACGTGACCTCGCGGTTACGCCGACAGCGAAGCTGCTCAAGCCGGAAACGGGCCCCTAAGAGCTGCGCTCTAAAAGATATTTTAGGCTACTTTGTAGGGTTTGTATCACGGTGAGGTAATTATTGTGAGTTCGACATCAAACAGACATTTGTCTTGAGTTGAATGTGTCTCAAGCTGCCCTCGCTGTTATTTAACCTGCTACTTTTCTTAGAGCAGCTAAGCAGAGCACCTAGCTACTTGAACTGATCACAACGAGTAGTGCTACCTATTCATGTGATCGATGTAAGCACTGTTCGCTCAAAAACCGATAACTCTTCGTTAGACATGTGAAAATAATGGAATTATGGTTCGAAGCAAATTCAGAGTGAACACCGTAAAATCCCGAGAGATAGCCCACCTAAAATCGAAAGAAAATTGGGTGAAAATAAAGAGTTGGTTAACTGTCGGTGTGCAATCAAGAAAAGTTGAAAAAATGCTACTTTTAGATCATGTGTCTCTGTCAAACTTGTTATTGCGGCGAGGGGCTTTGAAGCAAAGATGACTGTACTTCCCAATCAGCAATGTTCGCTAATATCCTGCCATAGGTAACTAGACGCCTGTATGCCGAGGTCGTCGTTGATCTGAACACAGCGATTATTAGGAGTGGGCTATATTTTGATGTTTAAAAGAAAACAGCAAATCAAGCCAAAAGAAGGGGTGGGTTGCCTTTCGGGGGTGGGGCATCTCTCGGGATTTTACGGTAGTGGTTTTGGCCAAATATTTTAAAATTAAGTATTAAATAGTTGCTGCGCCTTTCTCCATGCCTTTCACTACTGTTACACCATGCTTATATAAAAATTCAGTTGAATTCGGAAAGGTTATTCCCAAGCTTCTAATTGCCCTCTTATGAGCTCTGGTAAATTTAATCTAGCTAGTTATATACTGTGGCCTCAGACAGTCCAATGCCTACATTAGGATGGCAAGTAAATGACAGATCTGACATGAAATTAAATCTTGAGTGGGAGGCTCTCTCGCCGCCTGCGAAAAGCGACAACGCCGTGGGAAGGCCCTCAAATACGAACCGCCGGTGGGCACCTCATCACACCAGTCGGGCGATGCACTGCTCGCGTCGAGATCCACGGTGAGACGTGCCCTGTGAAGTTCGTCGTTCTGCAAGACTGTTCCAGGGACGTTATCCTCGGAATGGACTTCCTCTGCGAGTATGGCGCCGTCATCGACCTCGGAGCAAACCGGTTGACGCTACGATAACCATTAGGCCACGCGCGCGGTGCTTACTTGGCCAGCTGTGCGCGTGGCAATATCACGAACCACATTATTTTAGAGCGCAGCTCTTAGGGGCCCGTTCCCGGCTTGAGCGGCGTCGGCGTAACCAAGGTCACCCCAAGGTCACGTGGCCCCAAGGTCACATGACCCGCAGAGGTCACGTGACCCCTCCCTCAGGGTCACGGGACCCCCAAGGTCACGTGACACCCAAAGTCACGTGACCCCCCCCCCCCCCCCCAAGGTCGCGTGACCCCCCCCCCCCCCCCAAGGTCGCGTGACCCCCCCCGAAGTCACGTGACACCCCCCCCCCCCCCCCGAGGTCACACGACTACCCCCAGGGTCACGTGACCCCCCTCCCCGATGACGTCATCGTCACTGATGACGTCACCGGCATCTGCATCGTCATCGTCATCATCACTGATGACGTCACCGGCATCCACATCGTCATCGTCATCATCACGGATGACGTCATCAGTGACGTCACTGATGACGTCACTGACATCCGCATCGTCATCATCGCTGATGACGTCATCGAAGTCCGCATCGTCATCGTCACTGATGATGTCTTCAGTGACGTCACTGATGACATCATCGGCATCGTCACGTGACCCCCAAGGTCATGTGACCCCCAAGGTCACTTCACCCCCCCCCCCAGTACCCTTCCCTCCTCCTCCTCAAGAGCTGCGCTCTAATTCGGTGTTACAGGGAGTTGTAAACGGCTTTCACTTTCTGTTTATTTTTTTATTACACCAGGCACGCGCGTGCGTTATACCGCTTTGAAATACAGTGCCTCAATGTTGTTGGCCGCTGCGCCTTGCAAGGCGCAGCGGCCAATAACATTGAGGCACTCTACTTTGAAGCTGTGTTTTTCGCCTAAGTGCGCGGCAGCACTGCGGCGAAGCGAGTCGCAAGATTGCGGTGTCAGCTCCGCGGGTATTGCTTCTCCGCAGCGCATCGGTGCCTGAGGAGAAGCGCACTCAAGAGGGCTAACCCGCCATGATCAACACTTAGAAAAGTATAAATATTGCAGTTAATTTTGAATTGAATATCAAATAGCGTATAACTTGAAACTATTATTTGATAATTCGAATATTCACGCAGCCCTACTCTTCGCACACAGTACTGTCTCATTCGGAAAAACAGCAACTCTACTTTCTTAATTTTCAGTGGCATCGCCAAGAAGGCCACATGCCAGACATTTTCAGTTTCCTTTATGAGAACAGCTCCCTTTTGGCGCATACATGGCGCAAATTGTGCACAGATACAACCTTTGGAGCTGCATGTAGCAGGGTTTTCTATATGGCGCAGTTTGGCGCAAATAGCACAGCAGTTCCACCACTGGGTCGGCCATCTTGCAATTATCCGAGCATAATATTGGACGTTAGATGTCGTCCATTGACTCGTGTGCATGACGTCATTATGGCCCTTCTTTTGGAGCCCCTCAAGTCCGGTCTACGTCGCTTTCTTGCGCAGGCAACAAAATTTCCTGTTGGTTACTTACCATGACATATTCATAGAAATAAGAAGGAAGCTCCCCGGGAAACCAACATATTTTCTAAATGAATCTAAGTGATCGAACAAACAAATAAATGTGCATTATGTTATAGGGTACAAGGATTTCAAATAGACACATAGTAGGTCAGAATTACGAAAAAAAATGTTTCACAATCTTTTTAAGGGGGGACATACGCCTAAATGTCAAGATTTTTTGAAAGAAATTAATGTTTCAATTTTGAATGTTTTTTTTTGTTTTTTTGTTAGAAACTAATTATACACCCTTGCACTAAATTTGATAACCATGTGCCAAATAGTTACATAGATATAAAATATTCTCCACACTATGTGAGGCAGTAATGAAGTAAAGGATTTCAACGTTTGAATGCCTTGTTCTCAGTTCCACTTTTTGCTGCAAATTTTATACGAAGGAATCTTTTGTTCGAAGGTAAAAGTATTCTAATACCACGATCAACATGTTTCTGAACTGAAATTTACTGGGGAATCGGGCTATCTACTTTATTAAGTTTTAAGTTGAAGTCCTCACTTAGAAAAAACTGTTTTAAAAAATTGACTTAGGAAAGATATGCATCTCATATTTTGAAGTAATAACTTTTTGAAATATTTATATTTGAGTTATAAAAACTAAATAGCCCAAAGTTCTACATCCCCCACTTTATATTGTAGCAGTCAAAATGGTGTAGCTTCATTTGCATATCATAGATTTGTGTCACATATTTTTATGCAGGTATATAAAGTTGTCCTGAAGAGCTGAAACTCTGCACAGTACACCTACATCTGGCGTTAAATCTCTCCTGCAAATTTTATTCCGATCACTTGAGTAGTTCAGAAATTGAAACTCTAGCCAGTGTCCCCCTTAAAGTAGTATCATTATGCGGCTAAACACGTTTCCTTTGCGAACCAAACCCGAGCTCCGTTTTACTCGTGCCGGAGTTTGAAACGGGGAGACGTCACGTGATGTGCGCCACCCGACGCAGGTGGTGTGCTGCACGGTGTACGACGTGTGCATCGACTATATGCTGCTGGACGCCTTCGAGGACCTGGGCAACCCACCCGCCACGGTGGTGGCTGTCACCCAGAACCGCTGGCTCACCACGGGCTTCAAGGAGACGGTACGTCCCAAAAAGGAGGTTGATAAGATAGTCAGCCCAACTGAGCTGGCTCGGTGAACAAAACTGAAGGAAGGTCTGGCTAGTGGCGTTGCTCATACAGGGTGTTTCAGTTAACTTGTTCCAAGACTTCAAAAATGCTGGAGCACGCTACGCATGTTAAACCAATGCAGTATTGTTCACAGTTCCATCGAGTAGGTGAAGATATTTTTTACAACGAGCTAAACTGGCTAATTAACGCGGGCTGATTAGCCAATTACGTTCCCATTTCATCCCAGGGAATTGAAGTTTCCGCTCATCCCATTCCTTTCAACTCCTAGAAATGGAAACATGGGAACCATTCCGACTTGTTGAACGACCAAACCATTCTATTCGTCTAATTGCCAAACTCGAAAAATGGCTCTTGACAGCTACATTGTGTTGCTGGCAAAAGCGGCATAATGCTAACGTTACCAAAGGCAGAGACTTCAGCAAAAATATGCAAGACCCCAAAGCAGCGATTTTATCAAGCCGAGCAGTGGTAGGGCATAAAGTGCTCTGTGCCATTGCTGGCATAGATAGTGCGATGAAGCATAAAAAGCTCGCAACGGATGGCAAAAATTAAAAACTTCCATTTTCTTTGCAGACGGACCCTAGGCCTTTCACTTTTAGGTGGCTCCTGGCTAATTTGTTTGCTTGATGAGATCTCAAAAATGTCTAGTTTATGCGGGGTGAATGTAAGATGCCACAGGTGGAAACTGACGACATGCTGCACTCTATAGAGCAGAAGCTCCAAGTGCATGTTCTGTGGCGACTTCTTCGAGGCACTTCGCAGATGGTGGTCAGAAACAAAATCATACCATAGCTTTAGAAGAAACATTACCTTGAAATTCCCTAAGGGCACGCTTCCCCGAGTGACCGCCCATCCCGTTTTTCTAATTAAATATTTATGACATAAATATTCCAAAACATCGCCCACCCCATATTTCCATTGACATCACGCGATGTCAGACGGGAATCACATCAACCACACAATCTGCGGTACCGGTACGTGTGGCAAGAGTTTGTAGCGGGAATTCACACATTTCTTCTGCGATCTGCACATGCAATATCGGTTCCCATGACATATGAGTTGTCCCCGCATGTTTATTGCTCTGTCAAAATGCAAATCTACTGTATCCACGATTTACGTATCGGTCCTCGTGAGGTGCGAGTTTGTGGCAGATTCTTGCGGTTCTTTCCACCGTGTAAAGCCAATTTGCTGTGTCCGCAGTCCAAAATATCTTTTACTGTGACACAAGTTCGTAGCGAATTCTCGCGTGTTTGTTGCATCTTGAAACACAAATTTGTCACGTCTGCAAGCAGCGGTATCAGTTCCCATTTCACGTGGTTTGTAACGGATGGCCTAGTGTTCTATCACTTTTTTTAATAAAGTCTCTTCATTTTGGGTGGGCGTCCTTACGAGATTTTAGGGTACTTTACCAACGAGCCATTGAGCAAGCCATCGAAGCCAATCCGATGTGTCATGTGACCTTTGGAAAGGATGCAGCGACATACGGAGGGGTTTGGCAAGTGATCATTCACAGCGCTGGATTTGCTGGGGTCGGTCGTAGCATTGCGATTCGCCGCAAGTTGAAACGGAGTCTAGGTGCTTCGTAACGAGAGGCTCGTCGATCCCATGTGTTGCAGAGATACGAGCTAGTTATGGCACTTTTGACCCTGTGGGCACCTTTGGAGAGAGAAATCCCGCATAATAGAAAGGAGGTCGATATGGCTTTGTCTCTGGCCTACGACCGGTGCTGTAATCGCGCATGGTTACAGTAACCGCTTTGTCGCATTTCACGGTATCGGGAACGACACCTTTTTTATGTACAACAATTGAGTTTTGGTTGCTTTACTGGGGATGTCACTTTCATCGCACGAGCCAGTGAGAGAATTATACTGTCAGTCACCTCCAGTGCAATGAGGCTGTATCCCCACTTTCATTGGAATGAGCACGAGCCGTTGAGAGAATCATGCTGTCAGTCACCTCCAGTGCAATGAGGCTGTTTGAAGAGCCAGTAGTGTTACGCCAGCAGGCCTTAGGTCCCAGCTAAAGATAGACACAGCTCACATAAAGACCGGGCCCATTCCATTCCCATTTAATTCCTCCCAACACTGCCACCGTTTCATTCCCATTCCATTCCGGGGTTGTGGGAGTGCGGAATGATTCTGAAATCCTTTTAACTACGGAGTGGCAACACCGCAACACTCATTACCTAACTTTTATAGCGAAGCTGTTATGTGCTAGGATCTGAAAAAAAAGTGCATCCATGGATGTTAACAAAAAAACTCCCGTTTAAACGGTGCTCCTTCATTCCGATTGGTCGTGGCAAGTATAAATAAAAAGGGGGGGCAACCCGCATGAGTCAGCCTTTTTTGGCATTATTACATAGTGAGGTCCTGATCCCTTGTTATCATGTATGGTCACCGACTTATCTCAGCTAAGAGTGTGCTGTGAGGAGGCTGAGGGCAGAATGCGCCCATCTATCCTTCTATTCTATCGCTTCCGCGATGCTGATAAAAAGACTTGGGCTCAATCGGAAAAAACTGTCCTCGAGGTGTGCCTCAAAATATTGGGTTTTGAACTTGCCCATAAGTGACCATAAGGCAATCATCACTTTAGTCACTAATAATTAAATAAAGACAATTAAACAACGAAGTTGTGTACGTGTCTTCATTGCAATCATATGTAAATCGTATAGTTGTCGTAAAGATAACAGCTTCGCTGGTCCTCCATCTTCACGTGAAGTACCGTATTTACTCGCAGAATGAACGCACTTTTTTTTTTTCCGTAAAATCGATGCAAAGTTAGGGGGGGCGTTCATTACGCGGAGTAAAATTTTTGCGTCCGTATTTACTCGCATAATGAACGGACCTTTTATCCTGAAAAATCGAAGCAACTTCTTATCTCTTTGCGCGCGGCGCCCGACCCCGTAATCAAACTAAGCTGTGCAAACAAAAAAAAAAAAAAAAAAGAAACTCCTTTTTCTTTTCTTTCTCAGTTCCTTGAGTTTTCTTTTTTTTTTTTGCCGCCTTTCGCAAGCTGTTTTGTTTGCTTAGGCGTTGCTTAAACGAGGGTTCTCCGCTTATCTTTCTTATCCCCTTGTGCGCGGCGCGCGACGCACGACCTCCCGCTACCAAACTGCGCTGTGCAAAAGCAAAAGAAAAAAGCTCCTGTTTTTCTTTTCTTTTTTTCTCAGTTCCGTGGGTTTTTTTGTTGTTTTTTTTTGCCGCCTTTCGCAAGCTGTTTCGTTTGCTTAGAGGGCTTCTCCGCTCCTCTTTCTTACCTCCTTGCACGCAGCGCGCGACCCCCGTAACCAAACTGCGCTGTGCAAAAAAAAAAAAAGGAAAAAAAGCTTTTTTTTGTTTTTGTTTGCTTAGTTCCGCGATTTTTTTTTTTTTTTTGCCGCCTTTCGCAAGCTGTGTCGTTCGCTTAGAGCGCTTCTCTTTCTTATTTCCTTGCGCGCGGCGGCGCGCGAACGCTAGGGTGCCTTCATGTGCGCACATGAAGGCTCCCTAGCTAACCCAAAGTCCAGACTGCTGTGCAAAAATAAAAAAGCTCCTCCACGTTTTTTTTCTTGCTTCCGTTGGATCTTTGCGAATTTTTTAACGCCTTTTGCAAGGCGTTTTGTTCGCCCACGCTGCCCATGTATTCGCGACCTCGCTGCACCAGGATAAAAAAGTGCGTTCATTTCGCGCGCGTGGGGGGAGGGGGTCAAAATTTTGACATCCGAGTTGGGGGTGCGTTTATTACGCGAGTGAAAAAAAAAGTCGAGATTTTGAGAGCCGACTTGGGGGGTGCGTTGATTACGCGAGTGCGTTCATTGTGCGAGTAAATACGGTAAATGGTCTATACAATTTTTTGAGATATTTGTGTGCAAAGCTTTTGATTCAGACGTTGCAAAGCGTGTTGGGAAACATCCCATCGTGCCTTTTCCATAAAGTTGGCCCCTGTGTGGCTAACGTTTTCAAGCTTCAAAGAAACCGTGATAATGCCGCGTGAGATGTAAAAAGTTCCTACACGACTACCTGCTAGCGAACTGCGACGTTAATGCCCCTAGTCATGTGGAATTTTTAAAAATCTTGCACGCTTTCTTTAAAAGTTTGGCATGTAAAAGATTTTTTAATGGAAACAACACGATGGGAGGATTCTCAACACATTCTACAAACAACTTTTGTGTTGGAGGTTTTGGTCATAAATTAATATTTTAAAAGTTAGCTAATCAATCTGCATTAACTAGTCAGTTTGGCATTTTGCAAAAACATATCTTGACTTTCTCAATAGGACTGTGAACAACACTTTGCTGCTTTGACACGTGTAGTGTGCAACAGCTTTTCTTAAGTCTTGGCACAAGTTAGCTGAAACACTTTGAATAGACAGGGAAGGAGAGGGGCAGCACTGGCGGCATGACACAGCAATGGTTACACTGTGCAGCACACGTGATACAGCACGGTACAGGGGCCTCAAAGAAAGCCAAGAGAAAAGCATGCTCTTGGGACTCAGGCATGGCAGTAACGACATCAAGGGGCAGTGTCTGTCAAACATAGATGCTGCCTAATTCATTGCAGAGAGGAAAAAGATGGGTTATCTTGATGGTATGGTTAGTTTTCCTGAAACTGGGGTAAAAGAAAAACAGAACATCAAAGATATTGTAGAAAGGGACAGACATTGTCTCAAACTCGGCTGCTGCATTTGTTTAGTCCTGGGTTTCTCAAACTTCTGAGTCTCGAGGAATGCTTATATCTCAGTTTATTGCACCGAGGAAAGCCTTCGCAATCTCGGCACTGATGCAGTGATGTCGTGGAGAAGCCCACAGACCTTGTAAAGTACTATAGATCACGTAGTTAGGGTGACCAGGCATCCCATTTTGGCCGGGACAGTCTTGTTTCAGAGGTTAATTTTTCCTGTCATTTTGTCTGAATATATGCCAATTTCCCATTTTCGTGGGAACTTGCTCTCAAAATCAGTATCACGCAAGTGTAAGAAAACAGAAAATAATCACTTGTGACAGTGTATTAGAATAAACAGTATAAACATGTTATCTCAAATAGGGTAGGATTTTTAGCTTTTCTGTGACTCCGCTTGCCATTAAATTTTGTGTGCACAGACATATGTATAGGGCACTTTTCTATACTACTCTATTTGGCATGCTTAGATTTTTTAGAATGGGTAAGGACGCTGTTTGCATGCTCAACGAAAATTCTCTGAAAAGTGTGCATTTTCACGGCGAACTGAATAGTAGCAGAACATTTTTCTTTGCTTGACTCCCCCTCTACCCTCCCTATTCTCTGTTCCTCCCCCTATCCTTCCTCTTGGTGTCCCAGTTTCCACTTTGAGGGGTGTGGTCACCCTACAGGTAGTAAAAAATATATGGCTCATAGCTATGCGTCAATGGGTGGTTAAGATCTGCTAAACTGGTTCTTATATTAGAAAAAATGCTTGTTCAGGACCAGGGACGGTTGAGGAAATTTGGCAGCTTGGGGAACTTAAAAGGGTACTCTGCGGAACCCCTGCATTCATAGGAACCCAGCTCAAAAACATTCGATTTAGTGCACACTATTATACATTCTTTTAATGTGGCCAACAACAAGTCAGAGGAACATCTTACTCTTCATACACTCGTACAAACCACTTGTGCATTTTACCTTACATTTGACCTGGAAAAACTAACCAGATTCAGTAGATTGGACAAACCCCTAATGGCTTGTGGTAGGGAACGCTCCAATGTAGGTTTTGGTTGGACTTCTCTTGTCTTCTACTTGAAATAAGCCATTTATGCAAAGTGGCCAGCGAATCACAAGGCACCGATATTGATTTCACTGGAAAAAGTGATCGGAGCCGAGATGTTGATCATATGTTCATGTGCCCTCCTTGCAAATAGCATTTTCAAGCTAAAAAAAACTATCGGTGCTTTATCATTCGTTGTTCTTTCCTTAAATGAAATGGCCCCTGTGTGGGGAAGTGGACTCGTGGACTTTGCTCATCAAAAGCTTGCCCTATCTGAGGGGACTTGATGCTACTTACAGCAATCAGTTGCTCGTCGTTACTACAGTTGGGCCCTGGTGGTTTCTCTTGCAGGCTCTGGCTGCAGCCATATGGTCAGTCCTCAAGGCCAAGAAAAGCCTATTGCCGGTAAGCAGTTAGTTGCAGACTTTGAGCACAGTAGCAGCAGTAGAGTCCATGTTCTAAATTTAGGGCAAAAGGCACGCCATCTTCCCGTGCATCTCTGCCACCTCGGAATGGCGGCTCTTAAGCGCAGACATCGGCGGTACCAATGGGCCCAGACTGCTAGCGAGGCTTTGACCCTTTGAGGGACGCTGGCACATATGGTGTACATGTGTGGCGGTGACCACAAATTTAAAGTTAACACCTCAATGCAAAAGCATGTGCATCCCGGGAGGTGCTCCTATCTTTTATGTCTTCTTTGGGGAACTATACTAGTTGCGTGCACACTGTGTTTTGCTTTGCTGAGGCTATTCACAGTTTTGAAAGTAGACACCCTGTGCAAGTGATACGCACAATTGGATCACTTCGTGTGTCGGCTGTTCTGGCTGTAGTGGCAATCGGAGCGCCGGCTCTTCGGTTCGGACTTCTGATGCTTCTTGGGGTTTAATTTGGAGGATGAGAGTTTATCATCCAGCTTGGAATAAGCTCTGCAAAATACCTCAGGTAGAAAGTTTGATGCTGCTAGGATGTCATAGAAGCGGATGCGCCAATATGAAACCAAATGAAAGAAAGGTGACAAATTTTTGCCCTTAATATTTCTATTTCATGCTTCTCAGTCTGGACAGCTTGCCAGCACTGTACGGGCTCCCGTTAGATAACTAAAACAAAACATGTATGTTGATATGTTCTTTGGAACAAAACCCAGCCACCATGGTTTTGTTCCAAAACCACTAAATTGACTCGTTTTATAAAAATATGAGTCAGCTACAGCATTTTAAGGCATTAAAAGAAAAAAAAAAAAGTTGATTCATTAAAATTAAAAAGTTGATAAGTAAATTTAAGTTCATTATTTAGCCGATTTGTGTGTCTTTTGCAATCTCTAACGTTTGCCGTGGCTGGCAGTTGTTCCCGGAGAAAGTTTCTTTTTTTTTTTTTTCCTTAACCACCAAATTTTTAGGCATTTTTGAAAGCCGTTGTTGAAACACCCGGCGTAGCAAACCAGGATTGAGGAGCATCATTAGGTGAAAACACCAAATGTAATTAGGAATGGCACAGTTTCTGTGACATCTTTTACTTTTGGTAAATATGTAGGTATCTGGTTCATCATTTGAGAATGACTTAACTTTCATTCAACATTATTCTGTTTGATTTGAATCAATCCCCAAAATCTCTATTTGTACTCGCCTACATTCGAGCCATGTTCGGATGGTTTAGCAGCCTCACCTGTCTGCTTAGAAGGCGCACATGCCTCTGAAAGGGCGAACATTTTTAGGTGGCCCAATAGGACACTTACATCTCAAAATAAACTATCCCTGAAGAAAGGAAAATGTATTGTGAGGACGACACATGCAGATCCAGGAACGGATTTATTGAGCGATCGCTCTCCTTGAAAATTCAAGAAATGTGGTCACTTGAGGGGGAATAAGAAATGGATATAAAATAAATGAGGGCAGTAGTGATCATCATCATGATGAGGATGAAGCGGGTGTTCTACATGAGTGCCCTCACAATATATGTATTTTTGTATAATCAAAAATGTTCAACTAAATGAACCATAGTTTATTGGATGAAACGAAGTCTACAAAGCCGCCGAAAGACAGAATCTTTGGCGGAGCTGGAATTTAAGCTCATTTGACCGAGTTTGAAGCACACTTGTATATGGGGTAATTGCCTGAAAATAGTAGCATGTTTTGCAATACCTCCTAAATTAAAATGAGTTTTGCAACAAAAATATTGCACAAATATTTTTCGGGGGGGAAGGGGGGAGGGGAGTTTACCTTGTCTTACTTAAACACTAAAAAATTTTTTTTTTTTTTTTTTTGAGGGTTGAGTGTTTTTTAGGAGGGGTGGTAGGCCCAGTTGGACGGGTGTGAATGGTACATTGCCCGGGGCGTGCGCAGTACTCGGACGGCTTCTTCTCCCGCTACTACACCCTGATGGAGCACGTGACCCCTGTGCTGGCATGGGGGTTTCTGGGGACCGACGAGGACCTCAAGGAGCTCTGCCACTTCTTCAAGGTACACTGCCACCAGCCTCTGTAGTTGCCACTAAACGAGCTGACCGGTCCAAACCAAACCGAATTGCTAGTTGTGGGACCTGGAAACCTCAAAGTCTTTGCTACTTTTGCTACCGTCGCGGGAGGAAAGCAGCGCGTGTTTCGGTTTGGACAGTTTGCAGAGCTAGCCGATCGGCTGAGGTAGCCGTGCGAGGTTTTTCTCTTTTCTGCCACACGATGCAAAAGGAGGGCGAAGCTTTCGAACACTCGTGGTGTGACCTCGAATGCGTCGACGACGAAACGGGGTGAAGAGGGGAAAAGCGACCCGACCGTTGCGGGTCCCCGAACGACGAAATAAATTTGGCTTGGAACACAGCCGGCGGAAGCTGCAAGACGTCGCTTGTGATGTTGCCTGGTTCGCAAGAATCTTTTGGCTCCTAAGACCCGCCACCTGCAATCCAGTTTGGTTCAAATCACGGTTTAGAATATTGGCACTCTATTCTTTGACTGTTATGTGGACACCGCTATTTTGTTGTCATGTGCAGAGCGGTTGCAATGGCAATTAGCGATCGCTACGATTAAAAAATGCGGCTATTAGAGCTTCAGATACGGTGTCCGTAAGCTCGGGCGATAACGCTTTGCCCCATTGCAGAGCGTTTTAACGCTTCTGGAGGATACATTTATTGTTTCCCAGTTTTAGGTAAATATTCAGACATCTGGCAATAATAATTAAAAAAAATAACATGGCTAAAGAATTATTAAAATCCCTGCGGGACACCAACCAAAAGCTAGCATTTCTTGCATCACCCTTAAAGTCCGGGTTCCTCGTGCATACAACTTGAGGAGACTGCAGAATTTGAGCTCCGTGTCGCGAAAGTTATGCGTACATATGTGAGGAAAGTGGATGTCTCTTCCGGAGGTGCTCTGTGACACCCCAAGTGCACCCTTTTCCTCCCTGGGAAGGGAGCAGAGGGGTCGCATGTATCCTGCTACGGCTGCGGAGATTCAAACCAGCCATGCACATCGTGGTGGTGTTGGACGGGCTTAGAGGCTAGCTTAAAAAGATAATACAGGTTATGTTCCACGGCTGTAGCTGTTGCGGGCTCTTCCCACCACTGGAAGTGACCTCCGTCGTTCGTGTTGTTTTTGTAGCAGTTACTGTCGTCGTTGATGTTGTAGTTGACGTTGTAGGACGTACGTCGTCGTTCTTGCCAAATCCCCGAAAAAGACTGCCTGCCGTCCACGGGAATCGAACCTGGATCCTCCACGTGAGAGGTGGAAGCGTTAACACAGAGCCACGCTGCAGCGTTAACAACCCACTCTATACTCGGGGTGTTTGTAGTACCTGATGCCCACTGCACGCGCTCTCCGTAAATAGGCAACGGCGCTACGCTTTAGAACGTCGCACAACAGAACTCGAGAGACCTCGTTCGAGCGCGCGGTAAACGCACCGGCCAGAGACGTGCTCCAGGCACAGTACCGCAGTCATGGTCCCAGATTGTTTCAGTCACGAATGGCGTCGGGCGTTCCACCACAGGCGGAGGTGGAGTCCCTGGTGCGAGACATGTTCGACCTGGGCCGCACCCGCTACACGACGGTGGGGGACATGGCCGAGGACATCTTCCGCAACACCCAGGTGCGCTACGACAGGGTCTGCCAGGCCCTGACGGCCGCCGCCCCACCCTGACGCCGCCGGGGGATTCTGCGCAAATTGTCGCCAGACCCACCCAAGCAGTGCTCCGAGTTCATCGGGGACGGCCATGATCTCACGTCTGTGGGTGGCATTTCCGGCATTCGTTCCGGACTTTCCCGTGGATGCTGCGCCAGAGAGGGAGGACAATAGTGTTTGGTCAGGCCGTCCGCCCAGAGAGGAAATGGAACTGCGGATGCTTGCTCCGGGATCAAAGGTTTGAACCCGGAAAAGAAGGCGAAACCTGCCCGACATCTGTGGACTAAAACTGTTGACCTCTACTGCACTGGCCGGACCTCCGACCTAGGGTTAAATATTTATGCGTGGCTTTTCTCCACCACGCCTTTTAACATTTGCAAGCCGTCATTTTGACCGAGCCTACAGTGAAGACCAACATATTCGCCTCCAGATACGGTGTCTATGAGTCATTCTAAAGGGAGTGAAACGGTAAAATATGGTAAATTCTACTTAACGGACAAGAGAACTTTGTTGCTCGAGTTTACTTTGTTCTACAAGATTAGTGGAAAAAAAAGCAGAAATGCAAAATGGAAACGGATCCACTGCACGGCGATGAATCTGCGCACCATGCGCACCGTTTTTGGAAATGGAATGGTGTTCCACTCAGCTGCATACCTCGCAACATCGGCCGACTAGAAACTTTGATGCCTCACAAATTAGATCTTTGTAGACGCCACATACTTGTACATCGCTTACTTGAAACTGGAAAGTGATCACAATGGTCGTCCACAAATATTGCTTATTGCCTGTCAAATATTACGGTAAGTTGAAGTCGTCCTTTCCTGGAGAACCCTGTGGTTCTCAATTGGCGCTTTGTAGGTCGTGATTTTAACTTCTAGTCATGCATAACTGCCGGGGTAAAGTGAATGTGTACAAATACTGCTTGCCTAGGTGGAGATTCAGATGAATTCCAGTAAAAGGGGATTATCTGCCCCCAGGATTTCAAAATTTCGCCCCATACCCCGGTTTTCCTGGTACCCACACCTCCTCTGTTCTGGCCTTTGCACTGTATGTTTCTCCCTACACTGCACATTCCATGCGACAATGAGGTAAATTCTATATGTCACTTGACCTCGCAGTGTGAATTCATGGCATCATGTGATGTCAATTTCCTTCTAGATCAAGCGAGGAAATTGTTTTGTCGCATAATCTGACAGGATGTCGTGGTGTTATGTGTTTCCGTGGTTGATGTCAATTTCCCACTAAATTTAGCCACAAAATTGTAACGGTGCATCATTTCCTCGTTCTTTTCTTTGTGGCACCTGTATTCTCTCCCAAGAAGTTACAGTAGACTCATATTTCAAACTCCAGGAAGCTATGAATTTTGTCTGAATTATCAGAAGTTTGAATTATCAGAAATTTATCTAATATGATGCAAGATAAAATTATGATTTGTTACGCAGATGGCTGGGCACAAAGAAAGCAGATGTTTGATGATTTCCTCTGCACAGGCCTACCGTAATATATTGGGCAAGCACCCACTCAAAATTTACAGATAATGGCGAAAAAATGGGGTTGGGCGCTTGTCTGATCATCAATTTTACATATCAATGTACTGTGCATTTTTTCTCAGATCTTACAAATTTGGGTAAGGGCGCTTAGTGTGGTATAGGCGGATGCTCGGTATTCAACGGTACTAATCACAAGCAGGTATGCCACATATGAAACATTGGTGAAATATCTGAGAAAAGTTTATTTATCCCTCAAAAATGTTGTCTATCGTGGACTGTTTGACAGCGCATGACACCTAAAAACAAAAGTAAGTTGGTTCATCCAGCAAAAAAGTTGGCTATGTGCTTAGCAACTGAGGGAGAGGAGAAGACGAGAGCGCAGAGACGTCAAAACGCTGAGCTCTGGTTGGAATGATTAGTAGTTAAATCTAGAGCTACCTGCCTTTGTCTCCACTCCACTCACTGAACGCGTTCAAATGCGAAATCGTCTGGCATTTCGTGTTCTGACATGTTCGACGAGTGCAGTGGAGACGAAGGCAGCCAGCTTCAGGTCTACCCACTAATCACACCGACCAGAGCTCGGCGTTCCGATGTCCCCGCGCGCTCTCGTATTCTCCTCTCTCAGTTGCTCGGCGTATTGTGGACACTAGACTTCTTCCAAAACTTGAAGCGCCCTATCGCAGCGAAATGCCACGCAGTGCACTCTGGGAACTAGTTGGCCAGTCAGTTTCGGTTTCGATTGAGGAGCTTCAATTCATGCTATCAGGCCGTGACCAGATGGGCTGCTTGCGTTTTCAATTGTCCGACTTCTCGCGAATGTACAATACTCCAAGCATTTTCGACTCTCGAGCAATATAGAAGGAAGACCGGGGCACTTTTCTTGGCTTCGACATGCTGGATATTGTGCCCGAGTATGCAAACATATTAAGACGTTACTTAGTCCTCTCCTCCCACGATTGTATCTTTGGGCTCACTTTCAATAATGCTGTCTAGTACCAGTGAACCACAATTGAAATTTGGTCACTTTGAGCCCTACACGTATTTTGTTTGCCAAGCGTCCGCTTTGTGTTACGACATTGAGCGAAAAACAAGCCGCATCCTCACAGGATACTCGCAGTTGACCCCAACGTTGGTGCATGAACTTTTAAGGAAACACAATAAATTCGCACACACTACTGCACAAAAGTTACTATGAAGTCCTTCTTGTGTCATCATATATCTCCCACTAAAATTTTATGCCGATTTGAGATTAAGTTTTTGCAAACGCCGAGATCGGCTAGCTATGACAGAGTCCCTAAAAAGCGTCCCCTACCCCTCGCAAAGCCCTTTAAGATGAGCCTTTACCGACGCCCAAGATCTATGTCTGAATGGTGGTTCTGAAATTATCTTGGCATAGTCAGGAAGAAAGCAAACATATAACAAATCTTATGGCCATTAGCAACCGCTAAATGCGCTTAGAATTCTTTAGTTCATTTGGCGTACCGCATAGGGGCTTACGGCGTATACGTGCTATCCCCCGAACTGTGCGACATTCTTCACGCAAGGGCTCGACTGTTCCTTTCTTCAAAGCGGTTTGTATGTGTGAATGTGCCTATATGATTGTAGGATAACTTCATGCGACATTGAATTAGTCGAATCCGAGCGTGTAGGGACTTCACGTCGTGCAGTGCTGCGGGTCAGTACAGCCATAAAGGGATAAGAAGTGTTCGATTTTAGCTTTTCAACGGCGTCTCCCAGTTTTACCTCGCATACTCGGGCGTAATAAAAAAAACAACTAATTGATAAAAGATGATTCCGTCAGTGAATCAGTTGCGAGCTCGGTGTACGAGAACTTATTAGTAGTTGCAGCGTGTTGGCTCGTACACAAGCAAGACCCTCAAGCTTCGCGGCGTCGAGATTCCCAGCACTGGCTCGTCCACGTACCTCGAAACGCTAACAGGAAGGCTCGAGTGCAAAAATAAACAAGCAACGATCAAGACAAGCTTTACGTATGGTTCGGGCTTGTGCTGAAGTTTCAAGGTCTGGCCATTTAGGTTAGTTCAGAGACCCAAAACGATGCGCTTGGGACCAGGAAACATGATATAACGGCCGTTAATAATCCACGCTCATTGTATGATCTCTTCTCGATGTGTCGATCGAAACCAAAACCATGCTGCTGTCCTCCCTGGCTAACTACTTCCCAGAGTGCAACGTGCGCAGTGTTGCTCACAGGGATTTACGGAAGTAGTCTATTGGCCCCACTGGCCGCGCTTCTTACCGAGCACCGGTGCAGTGCAGAGAAGCAACGCCCACATAGCTCGCCTGTGGCGCTGTGGTGCTGGTGCTCGCGAGAACACAAAAACAAAAAAAAATTGGGTTGTGGATATGTTTATACAGCCTGAACTTAGTCTCCCTCAACGGGCAACTTGTCTCTCAGCTGTAGACGAGCACTTCAGCCAGTGCACTACAACTACAAGCCTGGGGTCCTTAATGTGCACCACGCAATAGTGATACACGACCGCTCGCCGGTACAATGGTTCGGGAGAACAAAAAGTTTTAATTATGCAAAAACGCTGTTCAAACTTAGCGGCTTATAAATACATTAAAGACATAGTGTGAGAACCAAATTTTGAAATTTGTTTGAAATTGCCAAAAGCATACAATATCTGAGTTTGATATTTTGCAAGCCTACTGTAGTTTAGAGGATCGGTAGTTCTGACACCCTTGAGCAGGCATCAAGATGAGTTGTCGCTTAGCACTTCTGGAATTGTTACCTTCGTTTCGAAACTGGAGCCTATATGGCCTCACTCCTGCAATCGCTATCATTTTTTGGGTCAACCGTGGTGCCCTGTGTACTATATAAATTCCTTTTCTGTTTTTTGTCACGTCGGTTAGTTGTTGCTTTTAGAAACATAAAAGCCTTCGTTCCTCAAGTTTTGTGCACAAGGCTAGGTTGCCACATACCGACACCACTATAGCCATCTTCGGAAATTTTGCTGCCCTAGGCAGTTGTCTGCTTTGCCTATTGGTCAGTCTATGGTGCCTTTGTGCATGCTTTGCTTGGGGTGATGACATTCTTCGTAGTACCCGATGCCAACACCACACGCTCTCGAGAAAAATACGAAAAAAAAAAAGCCGGTCAAAAAAACGACGTTGTAGCACCAACGGTGCCAAGAGCTCGTGCCGGAAGACTCGCTTGTTCGCGCTCAAGAACAAAAAAGGAACAGAAGCATCCGGAACAAAATGGTCAGATGCCGTCACCCTAAGCAAAGAACGCACGAAGGCACCCCAAGTCAGCCCACCCCGATTTCAACCAGTGTTAAAACACAGGTAAAATCGTGATCACACTTTCCATTAAATACCGAGCGGACACCTGCCCCGAATATAATCGCAAAAAAGGAAATAGGGAATGGGCACTCCTTAGGTTCGAGAGAAGGAAGGAAGCATACGCGTAGGTGCGGCACTATAGGGGAAGGTGGAACCTTTCGTTTTTAAAGCAGTCACGCCGCTCGCGTTAAGCCTAGTTTACACTGGTGCTCTTGCATCGACCTTCACCACTTTGCACCGGTGTGCTTGGAGAAGCAGACGACGCAGAGGAGCATCTCGGTCGCCTGCAGAGAAGTCCGCTCGTTCAAGTTCAAAATCGTGGTTGAACCGCGGACACCGCTGCAATTTTGCCAGTTGGCCAACTCACACTTATTCTTACACACTGTCACATAGTAGTTCTACGGCTGCCATTAGGATAATGCTCCTCTAAGTTAAGACACCGTTTGCTCGTACAGTACGAGATCGGCGTACTTCGCCTACATTCCAATTGGTTCAAGAGTAAGGGGTGGGTGCTTATTGTGACGTGGATGCATGTTCGGTATTTTACGATAACCGAGGCGCTCAGCTTAGTTTTTTCTCTGCAGGGTGCTAAAGTGGCGGCAGCCAGTGACACCGCCGATTTGGGAGGGTTCATATGTGCTCGGGGGGCATGCTGTAAACTGGTATTGTTGGGCCAGTTGACACAGCTTCGCGTATAGTAAAAGCAAGTGAAAAAAAGAGAACAAGAAAAGAAACGTACAAAACAGTGCGTATTTGTTCGTATTCGGAGAAACATAGAAAGCACCGAGTGCAAGACCGTTTCTTTGGCAACAGAATGCACTCGTGAACACACTCGATGCTGAATTTATCGTCAAATCACGTAGTGTAAGTAAAAGAATTTAGAGCCCTTCCACTTTACGTGAAGATGGAGGACCAGTGAAGCTGTTATCTTTACGACGTCTAGGTCGACAATTAGAGCACAACGTCCAGGACAACCTCAAGGAAGACTTCTAGGACGACCTCAAGAACGACCTCAAGGACGACTTCTAGGACGACCTCAGGGACGTCTAGGACAACCTCAAGGAAAACTTCTAGGATAACCTTGAGGACAACCTCAAGGATGACTTCTAGAAAGACCTCTCGGATGACGTCTAGAATGACCTCTCGGATGACGTCTAGGACAACCTCAAGGACAACTTGTAGGACGACGCCTAGAGAAATTCAGCCTGAGAAATTCAGCCTTTCCGCTCTGGTGAAAACCAGAGTGGAAAGGCTGGAAAGCTTGCCGTCATCACTCATCGATGGCGGTAGCTGTCTGGAGTTTTGTGCCGAGATTCATTTGTCCACGGACACGGAACTATGGAAACTAGCCCTTGAAGGGAAGCTACAGAGGTTGTTGGAAGAAAATGAGTTAGAAGTGAATTCTAGTGTATTTTTACCCCGTGAACCCGAATACCCAAACCATTTGCTGCGCAAGTATTGTTAAACGCGAGAAAACACGAAAGACAGTCGCTGTACGTGACATCATCAACGGATCTTTTGGCTGCCCAAGGCTAGGGAGGCGGGGCTTCAGCCTCCTTTTGAAATTGCTTTTATGGCTCTCCGGCACATCGCATTGAAACATAATTGTGATATCTGTTACTCTAAAGACCAAATGAACGCAATTCAAGTGTTTTTTTTTTTCAAATGCAGAACTGCCCCATCCTCCCTTTGACAGCTCCGCTGTAAAATGACTTGTGCCATGAAGACAAAACATTCCAGTTTACCTTTTTGTTCAAAATTTGAAAAGCATAAAGTGAAGTGCGACACCCGTGTTACGAGCTAGGATGCACAAGCTCGGAAGCCATCCCACTTCATGCTCGTAAGTGCACCCGATGCAACATCTCCAATTTATTTCACGGGCCACTGTCGCTCGGGCACCTTGCGGAGGAAAACTTGCAGTCGTTCACTCTGGCCAAGTATGGCTGCGACAGTACTACATAACCAAAATTTTGACTGAGCACCCTCCTCCAGGGCACGTCGAATACCTAAGAACAGTCAAGAATTAGAGGTGTGCCAATAAATTTCTTAACCGCAAATCAAATATAGATATAAAAGCTGGACAAAATTAATATTTTATACTTTGTGTGAATTGAACATTTATATTTTATAAAATCGCGGCTGAAAATCCTTTTAGAAACACATACCTTTGAAAAGGTATGTGAGAAACATTTGACATACTCAAATGAAGATGAAATAAAATTACACATACATTCATTCCACCAACGCACTGAAATGCGGTAGCTTTACGGGAACATTGTTAGTGAAAACAATTAAAAAAGGAAATGGTGCAGTGATGAAATGTAATATGCCGTACATATCGTGGACGACATCGAGAACGACGTTCAGGACGACGTTGAGGACAACCTCGAGGACAGCATCCAGGATGCCATCTAGGACAAGTAAAAGACATCTTGGAGGTCGACTTCTAGGACTCCATCTAGCGTGACATGCAGAGGGCAATGTTAAAAATGACCTCTAGGACGACCTTAAGGATTGCATCTAGGACGACTAAAGGACGTTCTGGAGGTTGACCTCTAGGACGACCTCAAGGGCACAGTCTGGGACGTTGTAGAGGGCATGTTAAGAACCTCTAGGACCTTAAGAGTGACATCAAGGTTGGCATCAGTGACACCCAGGACGAGTAAAGGATGTTCTAGATGTCGACCTCTAGGACGCAGTCTAGGATGACCACTAGGACGACGGTGAGGACAACACCAAAAACGTCAGATCACACTTTAGCTACTGGTGCCTATGAGCGTATGTAACCGGCAATTGCGTGACCTTGATTATGCAACCTTGAGCTTCAGCCTAGAATGTTATGCGAGCTTGAGGATGAGGACTTGACCTTGAGCGTGGTTCGGCCTATAAAGCTACCGCTTTAAAAAGGTCCTGATAAAACATTTTGGGTAAAACGTAACATGGCGAGCACAGCAATGACTATGTTACTTATCCGAATATAGCTCGAGGTTTTCTTTTCCAACACTCCTTTCGAAACCGGGGGTTGAACTACAATTCTACAATCAAAGAAGGCCGACCTAACACACCGAGCAAAACATTCGAGACCATCGAGCCCACTAAGACGCTGTCTTGTCGGGCATCTCCTAGCGCACCGGTGCAAAGCAGTGAAGCTTGATGGGAATGGTCGGCGAACTCTGAAGAAGTTAATCATAATTCTAAATATTCGAAAAACTCTAATACTTCTAACAATAACAGTGTGGCACAAATAGTGCTGCAGAATGAAGACCCCCCCCCCCCCCCCTTTTATTCCAACTCCATTCCAGGGAATTGAATTTTGCAATAATTCCATTCTATCGAACTCTAGGATGGAAACACTGGGCCCATTCCCACTCTTGAATGGCTGAACCGTTACATTACATTACATTCCTATAATTCCCAACCGCGAAAAATGGCGCTTAACAGCTAGATTAAGTTGCCAGCAACTAACGTCAGCATAAAGCTGACCTTATCAAGTGCATACACAACTGCAAAACATGTCCTGAAAGCATTGATTTTACTAAGCCGAGCAGTGGTCACACATTGCACTGGTGGCAACTGGTATGGTGGCACTGCAGATGTCGATTGCGCGACCCAGCTTGAAAGGCTCGCAACAGACGGCAAAACTTCAAACCACCAGTTTTCTTCACAAAAGGACCATGTATACCCTCCACTTATAGGTGTCGCGCATGGGAGCAATGGGGGCGGTGTGGCATTCTCTGCCAGTGGCCTACAACTGGCTGTAATTGCACATGGTCACAACCACATTGCTGCATCTCGCAGCGCCAGGAACGAGACCTTATCTGCTTACAACTCTACTGTTTTGGTTGCTTCAATAGGAGTGCCACCTTCATCCTCGAAGGAACACAAGCTGGTCAGATAGTCAAGCTGTTAGTTACCTAAAGTGCAACGATTCTTTTTCAAAGGCCCCTTTGACCACATCGACACGGCTCGCTTAAAAACAGAACCCATTTCATGCCCACTCCATTCCAGGCAAAATTCACCAAATTCCATTCCCTTTCCACTGGCTACAAATCAAACAGCAGATACTCTTTGTCAATTATGTGAAATTCCATTTGTTAAGACACCTGGAGGCTCGAGCGAGTCGGCGACCTATAGTAGGAGGCAACGGCGCAAAAAGACGAGGAAATAATGGTGACACACAAAAGAGATAAAGGGTGATCGCTTACGAGTCCGATACATTCATCTTTTCCTATCTTTACGAGAAATAGGCGGAGGAGTACCGTGGAAAAGAACAACACCCACGGAATCGTCACTCCGATCCTTTCCAGAGTTCCAAATATTGACGCACCTCCGTCGAGAATGTCTCAAAGCATCTAAGAGTGACCCCTTGCTGGCACGCAGCAAAGGTTGGTTCGGCCCGAGGACCTTTGTCCAAAGACCTTGGCCCGAGGACCTTTGTCCGGAACGCGTTTCTGACAGTGTTTACTGCATTCTCAAAAGCGATCCCTCGATTTCCGCTTGACGTCGTAAAAGTGTCGCGCCGTCGTCTGCCGCAATCCTGACGGTGACACGGCGGTGGACGTAACAGACCCCCGTTCTGCTGCAGGTCCGTCACCAGCCACACATCTACGACCGACCACCGGGATGGCGACATCCGATGGCATGTAACGCCGGCTCCTATGATGCCATTTGTTGCCACTTGGGGACCAATTTTGATGTAGGGGCAGTACAGGATGCTAAACACGTCAGTCAAAGGCGCATTCCGGACACCGTAAAGTGGCCACAAGAGGTGGGGGCAGAGGCGGCCTCGGTGGCGAGTTTATTTGATGACGGAGACGGCGGCCTGCACGGCTTCCGTCTTGTGGGACCCGTCGCAGAAGGGCCTGCGCTGCGTCTGCTTGCAGTTGCAGAACCAGTACTGGCGGGTCTCCTCGGCCACGAAGCGCACGGGACGCAGGCTGATCTTCAGGTGCGGGTTCTTGTGCGACCCGTCGCAGAAGGGCTGCGAGGGGGAGAGACGCGAACTGAGCCCCCCTGAACCGCACCCGTAAGGTGGTCCACGGACAAAAAAACAAAGTTCGTTGGAAGGATTCGTAAAATTCTATGTACTGCTAATACCGAGCAAGCACCCGCGCAACAATCTCACAAAAGAAATAAATAAATGGGGATGGGCAGTTTTAGGTTTGAGCAGAAAAGTGATAGGGGCGCGTGGTACTGTAGGCCCTTGTCTCGTCGGACGGAATGGTATAGGGGCAGTATAAGGGCCTGGTGGAACTCCCAATTTTTAAAGCAGCCACACCGCTATTGTGAGCCTGTTTTGCGCCGGTGCTTTCGTGTCGTGTTTCACCACTTTGCACTGTTTTAGGTGCACAGAGCTTCACCACTCTTCACTGGCTTACCAAACAAGAAGCCAATGGGCGCGTTCAGTAGCGGCCCCGGAGTCAAGGAGTCAGTGACTCCTTCCACTGAATGGCCAAAAGTCACATCCGGTGCACGTAACTCCGGGGCTCCGGAGTCAAGCTTCGAAGCACCAAGTCCGGAGACTGTGCACGTAGAGTCAAAGGAGCTAAAGATGACGTTGTTTCCTGACTGGTGACGATTTCCGGCGCTAAAAGAGCAAAAATCAAACAAAATGGCGGGATAAGCGGCGTCAGTTCTGTCATAACGCGTTCAAATTTCTTTTTCAGGTAAGGCTCTTTCGGAAAATGCATTAGACTGTATTTCGTTGGGTTTGAACATGCTAATAAACAATGTAAACATTGACGCCGTGTCTTGATTGCCGTTGCACGGAAGCTCGGTAATATTGACGATAGTCCTGTCCGCGCTCAACAGAGCAAGGCAGGGTATGAACGCGACTTTGGAAGCCGGTTAGACACTCACGCAGAGCATGATTCCGATTAATGTTTTGTTTACGTAGCTAAGTCGGGGTGCACGTTGGCCGACGCTCGCTTCGGCCGACAAAACCTTGACCGCCGAGGGTGGCCAAACTTCCCGTGTGTATACGAATACATTTTATAGGAAGTTCGTTACGAAGGGCAGAACAAACGTATGGCCGTATAAAAGTATCCCAACTGGCGGCGTAGATTCGCCGGGCTCTATATTTTGCCTGTGCTCATGACGTTTTTGTCTGTGTTTTTATGACAGTAGCTGCCTTTGCACCGCCAAGCGAATTGTTCGATCGCGTTGCATCGCTTTGAACAGCAGTGCTGATGTGTACAGTTTCTCGCTTTTTCTTCAACAACCTTGTCAAGACTTCTTCAATACCGGTGTCAAATAAAAGCGATCGTGCTCGCCATCGTCTGCTTCCAGTTTATTCGGAGACCGTCTGGCACACGGGAGGAAGCGGAAATTGTGTAGAAGCAGGTTTGGAGCCGTGGTTTTTTTTGCCGTTCAGTAGGCGATCCGAGGACTCCGACTCGAGTGACTCCGTTCGGAGCTGAGGGAGCCGCTACTGAACGCGCCCAATGTGAAGGAGCATCTCGGCTAGCTCTGTTGGCTCAGATGTGTCCTGGTGTGGGCACTCCATATGACTTATGCATATATTTAGAATGTTTCGAACGTGGAGGGTGGACACTTATTGCAACATGAGTGCATGCTCGGTATTTTAAGGCAAACCCTCCCAAGGGGCTGGGCGGGGGGGGGGGGGGGGGGGGCATATTATAGTGGACAAAATACACTGAGCACCAGCAAAAGAAATTAAAAAGGATGTTCTTGGGGCACGTGAAATTCGCACACCGAGAGACATAGAGAATGACAGAAACAAAAAACTGTTGGTTCTTGGCTCTTCCCCATAGCCCAGCGCACACCATATGGGCTGTCTGCTTGCAGTGATGCAATTTCTCAGAGTCCCGTCGGAACACCTTTTGGCACTCCAAAGTGATTAGCAGCAATCGCATCACCAAGGCACCTTGAGTCAGAAGTCTATTTTATAGCAGCACGAAGCATGTTTGAAGCACAAGCATCGATTGAGCATATGCTATGTTTTCATCCATTCCATTGTGAATACAAGGTTAGAAAGATTCTTGCTGGTGTGTGTACATAAACATGCTTTCTCTGCTTTTTTACTGTGCCACCACTCATTAGTATTGATTGTACCAAAGCCAGTTTAATTTGCCCAATTACTGAACTAGCTCTTTCCTAGTTGTGCCTAAAAGCAGTGTACATAAAAACAGGGATGGTGTGACAGACATTCTTGTTTAACAGCTACTTTACCAGATTGGATGAGGAAAGGCAAACCCTCCAAAAACTTGGTGGGTCTCATTAAATGAGAGCAATAAAAATCAGTCTAAAAAAAAAATATTACACTAATTGATCATGCATGCTTACAAAGGTCTTGAAGCACGGAATATGTTGTGAATGAGCTGGGCACATGCTGTGCCTGTGAGACGTCCTGAAGTCCCGGGACTGTCACGTCACATGATGTCACGGCGTGACAGCGTCATGTGATGTCGTGGTATGACTTATCACAAAGTCGTGACCTCATGATTGCACATGACACCATGGCATTGTGATGACGTCCTGTGATGTAGTGACATCATGGTGGCATTATAATCATGTCAATGTTGTAGTGCGATGTCATGGCATCACATAATGTCCAGTTCTTGAAGACGGTTCTTTGTGATTGTAAATACATCAGCTTGAACTTTAGAATTAACTTGAACACGAAAAAAGAAAGAGCAGGAGAGGACAAACAACTGTTTGTCCTCTCCCGTTTTTTCTTTCTTCATGTTCAAGTTAATCCTAAAGTTCAAGCTGATATATTTACAAGTCTGTATCAATAAACTCAACTCTTAACCGTTATTGTTCATGATGATCTTCTTTTAAAATTCAACCGATAAAACGCATTCTGCGTTAAAAGCATAATGCAAGAAACACATTTAGGTGATGTCACTCGCAGCTCTTGTCAGGGAGGAGGCATGGACAGGTTGTGTTCGGATCTAGCCTCGAACTGGGACTGGCTTGTTTTATGCCGACGTAGAGGGCGCTTTGACCAAGAGGCCGACAAGGTTCACAGTGAAATAGAAGAAAAGGCAGATGAGGCCCAAATTTGCGAAGTGCGCGGTGATGCCACGAAGGTGAGCAGGCCTCTGAGGAAGAAATGCTCCATGTCGATATAATAAGGAAGAAGTTCCGATATACTGGGAAAGAAGCGAATTGATGGGACCCCTAATTTCGAGCACCATCTATCCGCATTCGAGAGAAGCGCCAGGCGCGCCAAACATAATCTGGACCAAGTGGCATCACCTAAATGCGCTTTTTTCATCGTGGTTAAAAGTAATGTTGTGCACATTGGAAAGGACGTGAAAACCACAAAGGCAGAACTTAATGCTGTACTCAAAAGCACAAAGAAGGCTAGCCAACGACAACAGCGTCGCACAAGGCGGAGCATGCGCCCCTCGCAGGTGACACGCGAAGCAGAGTTCCGCAATCGATTTAGGCGAACACACCTCCAGCAAGTTCACCCACAGAGGCGAAAATGCCGAAGGTCGACGAGAGTATTCGACAAGGCAGCAGGACGTACGCCTCGGTGCATCTGTTCTGGCATTGCGCTCGACGTCGGATGCCGAAGCACTTGCGGCGACACAGATGCGAGCTAGGTGGCAGACAATGAGGTAGAGGGGCTTAGAGCTATAATCTGGTATCCTGTCCACTAGGCAAAAGTGACCCCCCACTGGCTGCCGCCATGTTGTACAATTTTGACCACTAGACACGTGACCGTACCAAATGCTAAGGCATTTACGCAAAATTCAGCAGAGATTTGTATTACGATCGCTGAAAAGAAAACACGATAAACTATTTTTTAGTACTGCTAGCCCGAGATCAGTGTCCAACTCCGATAAAAACCCAAAATACAGCACAGCGGCTGACGGCATGTAGCGGAGCCATTGCAAAGCTGCCCGAGCTTTTGTCGTAAAAGCACATTTTGGACTTAAAACAAAACGAAACATCACTTATCTCATCGGTACTGTTATTGAAGATCAATAGGCAATTATCTACGCGTGGTACTTCGTTAAAATCTAGACGTAAAACTATCACATCACATGTCTAGTGGTCAAAAATGCAATACGGTGGCGGCCGGGCAGGGGTCACTTTCAGCTGCCAGTTAATTGCTCTAAACCCCTCTACCTCGTTGGTGGCAGGACGCGAACCCACTTGCGACGACATTAGAGGTGGGAAGGCGCAGGTAGACGAAAGCCTTGTCTTCTATGTGGTAAAGGTGTAGGGTAGAAACTGGCAAAGAGGAGGATACGAGAGCGTTCAGGAATGCCCGAGAGCCGAGCTCTGACTGCAACGATTGGTAGCTAGACACAAAATTAGCTGCCTCTGTTTCTACTTGCTGCCGAGCGCTGGCGTCAGGCTCTCACGTTTGAACACTTCCGAAAAGTGAGCGGAGACCTTTAATCGTCGCAGTCGCAGCTCGGCTTTGCGGCATCCCCGCACGCTCGTCTCCCCGTGTAATGACCGACAAGGTGACAACGATGAGGGGCCTCTTCTGAATGCCCGGAATCCAGTCAGCTACTGTGTCTGCTCGTTACCTTCCATCGTGCTTTGGCCGCAAGTGCGCGTTTGAAGCTCGTGAGGGGTTATCGACGCCAAGTGGCTCGCGCCGGAGGCAGGACCGACCGAAGGACCGCCCCGCAGTCCTATTCCTACTACGAGCGGCTAGGCTGGTCTGCGGAGTATGGTCGCGAGTGCTCCAAACCTGAGTGTGGCTGAAGCCGCAGGCGCACCAGTGGTACACGTGGCCCTGCTTGCACTCGAAGCGGAAGGGCTTCTTGTCGTAGACGCGCCCCTTGCCCGCCTGCTTGTACGACGTGTGGTACTGCTGCTCCGGCCGGTCCTGCAGCTCCGGGAAGCGCTCCGCCGGGGAGCTGCACCATCGAACCTGCAAGCAAGCGGCCGCCCCGACCTCTCGCAAGAAGCTCGCAAACGTCGCCCGCTTCAGCCAGAGTTTGATTGCGATGCTACGGCCGACCGGACGGATGGTGTTCTTTTTCGGCTCAGGCGCCGTTACGGTGGCGTTGACATTGCCCGTTTCGCAGGGGTGGTTACCTCCTAGGCAGACATGTACACGTTACCCAAAAAAAGTAACTAAATACCATTACTCGTTAGTAGGTTTAAAAGGAACTAAATATGTTACTCGTTACTGATTCTCCAAAGGAATGTGTTGAATTACCTCCAAAGTAATTAGTTACTTTTCTCGTTACTTTGACGGCCAAACACACAACTGCTTTCGTTTCATGGTTTATTGTTTTCTTTTCAGTAGCCATTGAACTTGAGTTTTCATCAGTTTTGTTTCTCTGCTTGCTCAAGAATGCATTTCCGGCGACGCTAAAGAGTCGTTCTACCGACGTGCTCAAAAGAATGGCCATGTTGCGCTTCAGGAAGAGCTGGTGACTGTGGGATTCCCCTTTCTCTTTTGTTCTTTCGGCTTCTAAAGTTCCAAGTTGACAATGGGATCTGCGTCTTGTCGCGTCGGCAATCTCCAGGTTTACATTCGGTCTGTACGTAAGTTTAGAAAGGTTCAACCAACGTACCATATTGTGTTCGCCGGGTGAAGGACATTCCCAGCTGTAAAGTTTGACCAACATGTTCAGCGATTAACGTTGCTGTACCGTCTTTCCTTTTCAGTTGTTTTTCGGGTTGCCCACCTGCCTTTGTCACAACAGACGCATACTCAAAATTTAAAACAGGGCTGTCTCAATGGCGCTGTACATGTCACAGCTCAAAAGTAAAGAAATACCGTCACTCGTTACCTGGCCTTGAAAGTAACCAAGTACGTTACTAGCTACCGAAAAAGTCAACTAGGCAAAAGTAACTAGTTACTAGTAACGCATTACATACATGTCTGCTCCTAGGTAATGAGGCTGCACCATATCTTCAGTCGCCCACTGGAGGTTAGTGCTGGGCGTAGATTGGACGCGAGTGCTGCGTCGGCGTAGCTTCGGCAGGGCTCCCATATAAAAATATATGAACCGTAACGCTCGGACATGCAGCATAGCCATTTCGTTCCTCACTTGCCCCGTCCAACATTCGCATAGAAAAAATAAAAAAAATCCTGGTTACGGCTTTGACACAACGTGGGAGCCAGGTCACACGCGGGAGAGCAAGGGACCCGTTCAGGAAAGCGCGATGAGCTCTTTCCCAAAAAGCCCTCCGCTCTCTAAGCTCGCCGCCTCGATGTCTCCAAGGCAGAGCGCCCGCCTACGGATTCCCGGGTGGCGGGTTCGAATCCCGGCCGAGGCACTTGCGATATGGCAGAGGATTATTGCGGAAAAGGCGCCGCGGTACCCGGGTGTTCGGTAGCACGTCGAAAGATCCCTGGGTGGTTGAAATGAATCCTCTGTCCTCCTCCGGGGCGTGCCAGGTGCCCTTTGTTGGCTCGGCACGTAAAACACCCCCGAGTTTCTATTTTCACTCTTTCCACTTCGGCAGTGCAGACGCTGGAGATGAGGAAACTACTGATTATGACAAGCAGAGAGCATTGTGGAAGGGGTTGCCCCGCTGTTCTAAACCAGCAACTGTTCCTGACAGGGTGAGAAGGGCAGGGAGCAGCCTCGGTGGTTCCGCCTCCAGCGTGAGCTTTCTACCTTTGACAATAGACCCTTTGCAAAAATCCCAAAAATCCCGCGCGCACCGCGCGACAAATGATGGGAGTCCTCGATACGCCCTCCTCCCGCTACCATGTGACCATGTGGCATACACGAACAAGCGCAGGTTACCACGGCAACGGCTTTTTAACAACCAAGTCAGGCGAGCGACAGGCGAACAGCGGCTGCCCCTTTCTCATCCCTCTCCTTTGTACCGGCTCTGTCGTCTGCTGCACCAACACTTTGTCGAACCTGGTCGAAACCTGCCACGGTTGCAATAAAAATTAAATGGATTCGATGATACTTCAACATGTGAAGATAAGTTACGACGAATAACGTATTGAAATATGTTCACCTGTCACGATGCCTTTGCGCTGCCACAGATACGGAACGCCGCCAGCGACATACGACTCGGCGGATGGCTGCAAAAGCTGCTAACGGTAGCTGCCGGGACGCGCGCGCAGTCGCGGAACTAGAAAGCGCGTGATCTTTACCGAGTTCCCGAATTTCCTTGCCGTCGTAGTGCTGTACGTTTTGCAAAGGGTCTATTGACGCTGCGGAGTTTCGTGCACCTCGAGTGCACAGTCCAAGCACAATGAAAGGTATGGAGTGCGCACCAGGGGCCGCGCAACCCGAAGACGGGCCCCACCATTTTCACCGTGTCAGTGACCATGCGGAGCGCAAGTTCATCTGCTTCTTACACAGGGGTTGCACTGAGGTCAGAACGCCGAGCTCCGATTGGCTCTGATGAAGGGACAGTGGGTAAACCTCAATGCTAGCTGCCTTGAGGTCTACCCACTATCCTTCCAATCGAAACCAATCGGAGCTATGCGCTCCGACGTCACCGCAACCCCTGCTCATCGTCACAAGATCACCTCAGTCGTGGAACTCCAGCGGAGGGGTGTGCCCGCCGCCCTCACTCACTTCAGTCCACCTCCCATCGTATGAAGCGCCATCTAGATTTTCGTTTAAAAACCATCCAGACGCTGTGCTTCGAAATGTACGTATTCCATAGAATACACACAGTCCGGGGCGTCGAACGACGGGAGGGGAGTCGTGCTGAGTGAGGGGAAGTACTGCTCCTGCAAGCAGCGACTATGAGGAGTTCCATAACCGAGCAAGTCCATAACGTTTCCCCTGCTCAAGAAGCAGACGAACTTTCGCTCCGCATAGCTATTGTGAGATGAATGCACACAAAGAGTGGAGCCTGCCGGTCAGGGCGACGCGCACTCACGGCGCAAGGCAACGGACGCCCGCTGATATTTCCGAGCAAGGGCCTTGCAGTGTCCGTCCAACAAGCACCCCCAGAGCTAGGAACGCGCAGATCGCAAAAAAATATTTCCAGCGTACGGGTGAAAATGAGCCACCGCGGGCACGAAAAGAGCCTGGGACAACCGTGGGATAGTTACCACTGCGAGGTGTGCGTTTCCTCCTCCCCGATGTCTCCACATCGCTTTGGATATCTGAAGAAGTAGCCCCATTCTTCACTTCTGGAGTCACAAACCCAACAAATCAATGAAACAATGGACAAAACGTCCCCTAAAGTAAACACGTGCTTGCAGAAAGGTCAAAGCAGACGCCACAGAACCACCAAGTGCGGCAAGCGGGCAAGTCAAGCTTGGGGCAAGTGCGGTTCACTGGATTGGATAACGTTGACTAGGAAATTAACTACACCAACTAAAGGAATGTTATTTTTTATCGTTGCGGTCACACCATAAGATTATTAAAACAAATCAAAGAATGGCTAACTTTTTTCAGGTTCGGATTTTCAAAATTTATAAGTCTTTCGTTTACAGCCTGAAACATTGGATTGGCATGGCTTGCGACGTCTCTTGTAGTCGATAACGTATCACGTGACACGTGATTTATTTATCATGGCTGCCGTGTCGTGAACTTGGCGAACGTCACCGAGGCAACCGAGGACCGAGGTGCCTCCCCTTTACAGTGCCTCTGTCGTGTAGACTCCCCAAAGGTTGACAGCGGGGTTGGAAAGGTGCCGCCGGCGAAGAGCGCGTCTCTTCAGCCAGCACAATGTCAGTGTACAGCGTGTACATCGTGAGCAAGTCGGGCGGCCTCATCTTCCACTGCGACTTCCCGAGCCTGCCCCGCGTCGAGGTGGAGAAGACCTTCAGCTACCCGCTGGACATCACCCTGTCTTACCAGAACGTGCTCAAGCGCGTCGTGGTCAGTTTCGGACAGCGGGACGGCATCTGCGTGGGCCACGCCGTGATGGCCGTCAACGGCGTGCCGGTCAACGGACGCCAGCTCGAAGACGGCCGAGACGTGCAAGACGTGCTCTCCTGCGAAGCCAACTACCCGCTGAGCGTGCGCTTCGGGCGGCCGCGGCTCACCACCAACGAGCGCATCGTGCTGGCGAGCACCTTCCACTCGTTCTACGCCATCGCGTCGCAGCTGTCGCCGGAGCCCAAGTCGTCGGGCATCGAGCTGCTCGAGGCTGACGCGTTCCGGCTCCATTGCTACCAGACGGTGACCGGCGTCAAGTTCATCGTGCTGGCGGACGCGCGCCACGCGCCGCTCGAGCCCCTGCTGCGCCGGCTGTTCGAGCTGTACGCCGACTACGCGCTCAAGAACCCCTTCTACTCGCTCGAGATGCCCATCCGCTGCGAGCTGTTCGACGCCAACCTCCAGGCAGCCGTCGAGCAGATGGCCGGCCTCAGCAACGTCTGAGCCTGCCACAGTTCGGTCCAAATCCACACCGGTGCATTCCGTGTGCTAGCGCTGACTGAACATTCAGTTGTCCTAAAACTCCACCAGTGGATCCCTATTGACTGGAGCTTTGTTGCGGATGAGTTGTGTTGGATACGCTTGACACTAAACTACAACCCTTCATCGTCGCAAATTTACAGCAAAAAGTTTACTGTCCGCAATATTGCTTTCTTCTTGGGTGGGGGGGGGGGGGGGGGGGGAAGGTAAGGTAAGGGAAGGGAAGGGAAGGGGAGGGAGGGGCTAGATCCAGTTTTTACTGTGGTCGCCCAATATGAAGGGTTAAGCTGCCGCAGTACAATCTACGGTATTATGAAACTTTTTTTATCTTATGTTCTAATTACAGTATGCGAAAATGGCCTCTTTGCACAAAACACAATGCACAGTTACTGCTGCAATGGTAGTGGTACTGTGCACCTGTGCGTAAATCACACTATACTCGGCACTTCAAGTAAAAAAAAAAAAAGGAGGCAATTTGCGAGTTAAAGACATGACGAAATATCGGGCACCGGAAAAAATCGGCCATCTGTGTCCAAGCCCTTATTTCAAACTCTCTTCATTCAAGTTCCACCCGTCAAAAAGTAGGGCTAAAGAGCTTAAGCATGCACGTCTTGCCACAGTGCCATCTCTTTCAGTCTCTGCCTTGGTCATCCGTGGCAACAAAGCGTCTGCCATATAAGCATGCAAACGCAGCGTCTGAAGCCATTAACAATCTACGCCGTTTTCCAAATACCGTCCGCCAAAGTTAATGCGGCAATGCTGGCCAAAGCCAGATGCGCCGGCGCGCCCGCCGCCTGCCGAACCCGTGGTAGTTTCAACGAGGCTCGGTGCAAGCTTGGGCCCAAGATTGTAATCCATTTCCCCACCCCCAAGTGGACCAAAGCGAGGGGTGACTGTGCATCGCACAAATGCACTCTACTTGGTCAACCCCGAAAAGAATGCCGAAAAAAATGTGTGCACAGCTTTGATCAACGCTCGGAGAGCATGAGCAGACCGGAGCCAATATCTTAGACTGGACGCTTTTTTGTAATGTTAAGATCACCGCGTGGAAACCAATGCTCTAACACGGCGCTTCCCAAGGTTTTCCATCTCGGAAGCCTCCATTTGCTTCAAATGGTGGCCAAAAAATCCCTCCCAGTGTCGGTATCAGTCTGATAAAGCAGTGCAGAAACTTGGAGGCCTTGTAAACAATAAAGCACATACTACACTTTGTTTCAGTGCAAGTCCAGACGCAGCCGATGCTACAAGCGCGAGCATGTGGCCCTGAACAATGCTTGCACTGCACGAGCATGCTTGGCAGGTAGGCTGAAAGCCCGGGGTCCGCGCGTGTAGCATTGCCTGCATCTGGACCTAAAGCTGAAACGAAGTATAGTGGTTTGGCTCATCGCTACGCATCAGTGGGTGGCTGACAGTGGTAGATTTGGAGGGCGGGACATGCGGCCCCCAAGCGTCGAGCGACTGCGAACACCCCCGTTTCTATGTTCAAGCGTTGTATGCGTCCAAAATAATGGTCTCCTGTTGTCGATTCATTTATGCTCGAAACATAGCTATGCTCTTATAACCTGCTGACATACCGTTCTATTTTTTTCTCTTTGGCACTGGGTTTTGTCTTATTTCTTGCATCTCGGCTCTTGCTTGTGTTACTCACCTGCACAACAATCCCACTAGCACTATGCTACAAGTGCGAGCTCTTTAGAATGCACCTCGGCTGCACAAACTCCTGCTTTAACAGGAGCAACTTCCAAAGATAAAGTTATAAGCTCGGGTTTCTAGCAATCAAGAAAAAAACATCAAAACGCAAGAATTGTCCTATAATGCTCCTATAAAAATTGTCGGGCAAGCAAAAACTGTCTTGCACAGCTTTTTGTTTTTGGAGACACTGATTATTTCCCGAGGAAATTAATTAACACAGAGGCGAACGTGCGCTTGCACGCTTGTTCTATTGAAAAATGGAAGCAAGTTCGTGGTGCAATGTCATTTTAGATCTGGATGAGCATTGTACCTGTGCTGTCGTGCATCACTACTGCACGGTGCACGTTAAAGACCCCAAGCTAACTGTCTGTACTGCACTAGCTAAATTTCACATCAACCGCTGGGAGACAAGTCACCTGGTGAGGCAGACTAAGTTCTAGGCTCTATAAACATACACCCCAATTTCTTTAGGTCTCATTATCACATCAGGGATGGGCACAAGGTAGTAGCTGCACAAAGGAATTGAAGCTAAAGATGTTACCACTAAAACTGACAGCTTACAAAAATCACCACGAGGTCCCTTCTAAAAAGAGTTACAGATCAGCAAATTGATAGTTGAGGCAAATCCGTAGAAACCACATGGGTGATTATGAATGCGACAGCTTTTGTTGCGGCACACCGCCAAATTTCGAGGAGAAACCGATTTGGTGCATAGCTTGTGACAAATTTTTTCGCTAAATTTAGTGGAAAAATGAAAGCCATTTACAACTCCCTGCAACGCCGAATCAGAGCACAGCTCTTGGGGAGGAGAAGGGAAGGTTACTGAGGGGAGGGTATACCCCTCCTCCTCATGCTGCTGCTCCTCCCTCCCAGCAGCGTCGCCGTCAGCGTAACCGTGAGGTCACGTGACCGTCGTGACCTCAAAGGGGTCACGTGACCCCTTGACCCCCCCCCCCCCCCCCCCACCCACCCACCCCCGAGGGGCGTCACGTGACCCCACGCGGACGTTTTGGCACGGTACCGAAATGTCGCCGCGGTTACGGCAACAGCGACGCCGCTCAGGCCGGAAACGGGCACCTAAGAGCTGCGCTCTAAAACTCGCCTCTAAATTTGCCGTCATCCTTGACACCACCCTGCAGGTCATTGTTGAAGGACATAGTTCTGGATGACGATGTCAAGGATGACATCTAGAACGACCTCTAAGACGACGTCAAAGACAACCTCTAGGATGATCTCTAGGGTGATCTCAAGGACAACCTCTAGGATTACCTGTAGGACGACCTCCAGGACAATGCTAAGGTCGTCGGGTCCTGCGAAGAGGGTGCGAATGTGAAGGAGTGCATATTGCCACTTTACATGTGCATTGCACAATGTGGTTTAAGCACAGTAAGCTGAAATGGTCTACTGTGCATACCTAGTATGCATTAAGAGGTCAGGATTTACATAGCTGAAAATCTTGAGTAGTACCTTAATAATGCTGTTGCATTAAAATCTCAAATACGCAGCTGAGAGACTTGGCTACTTTGCAACATGAAAAGTACTGCTGTCTTTTCTATGTCCCAGAAGACAATCCCCCCCAGCTCTGCATTGGCCCTCAACATTTCGGGGGGCGGGGGGGGGGGGGGGGGGCTATCTGGCCCTTACGCCCAAAATAAGTTTGAAAAGCCTGCTATAATGAGACAAAATGTATGTACTTACCCAGTTCATCCTTGAAATGTCTATACAGCGGGGTTTGTATTAAGGAAACATGACATGTAAAACCAAATGGTGTATAATAACCGGACAAAGTCAGGCCATTCATATAGACTACTTTATTGGAATTAGTGTGGACATTTTTTATAATTATTTGACACGCTTTCTTGCACAACTCGATGGTGCCAAACAATAACGTGGCAACGACACTTTGGGCATAATTAGTGCCATTAAATCTGTGGCCAACACTGAACGTGCTACGCAGCTGCTCCGTCAAGAACGCCTTGTTAACGCCGTGAAATTCCATAATTCGCACTGTGCATAGAGCAAGTTTCCTCGCACAACATTCAGCCAACCAATCGCAATCGTGCCTCTTAACTTTGCGCATAAGTTAAGCTTCCCAAAGTGCACCCGTTTACACGGAAGAACCCAGACACATCCTGTGGCCTCTCAAGTCCCCCTCATTAGTGAAAGCCTTTAGGCAAACTATCTTTTCTTCACTTGGAGCTCATCCCCGAAAGAAAAACAAAAGGCCGGGAGCTACACGGGATCACAACGGTGTCAAGAGAACGTCTGGTCGCACACCTGGAATAAACGGACTTGTCCAGTGCACGGGTGAGGTGCACGGGCGGCCATTCCTTTCTCGAGAGGACCTCTTCCGGCGAGCCACCCAGCCTCACGAGTGGTTTTGCAGCGCCATTCCTTCTGGTTTCGCATGGTGGTGGTGCATCGAGGAGGCGGCTTTCTTCTCCGGCACGCACAGGCGCCTGACGTTTGCCCCTTGCTCGTCCGGTCGACCGAACTGCACCGTCCGGCCGAGAAGGCCACAGGACTTGGAGTGGTCTACCTGGGCCCGGGCTTCTGTTCTCGGAACGGTAGCAGGCTGCCAAACACCACGTGCTGCACCACGGGGAACTTGCCCAGCACCTGCGTCGAAAGAGGCCGCTGTCTGCACTGCGGAGTCGCTAGAAAGTCGTGCGCAGAGTGTAGGCCCTCTTCTTCCCACTGACCAACGCCACGAGCCCCTCCCCTGGCTACGCCAGTGATGCTTGCCAGCAATCTGCAAATTTCTAGAATCCTTGCAGCACACTGACCAAGTTAATACTCTGATAGCGAATTCGCATAGTTTTTTCTGCCCACTCTTGAGCGCTCTTGCCAGAGTGTGCAAGATCGGGAGGTGGAAAGAGAGTGCAGTGGCCTGATCAGCTGGTTCTTCCTGAGGGCGCCCCTCCCTCTCAGAGCACTCCCTAGCACTCCGTCTCTAGCCATCGAAGGGCGAAGCAGTGCAGGTGTCATGTGTCATGTGGTACTTGGGCGGGGATCACGTGGTTTTGTTGACGATGGCCTGCAGTTGTCCGTGGTGGTGTGCAGGGTCTGACATGACAACAATGGCTATCTGGTTCTACAAAGTGTTTGTGCATTTGACGGTGAGAAGATTAAAACGGATGGGACGACATTTGTTTGTGACAGTAACGGGAAAAAGTCGACGTGTGAAGTATTCCCAGTGCTTTCACGAGATCGTTCATCTCACGGCGGTGAATCGCTAAAGCTAACCGACAAAGAAACAGCTCGCAGGGCTCGCTGCCGTTTTACCAGATTTTGTGGTCGCTTCAAGAAATTTTCAAGTTTCGGAAAAGTGTGTTCAAAGGTTTGTGTTTTAAAATAAAGGGAGAGCCGAATATAATGCACTGTTATTTGTGTCACATGGTGATATCTGCTATATCCTGGTTGCACGATATTCCGCCGCGAGAAAAATGCTGTTTATTAACCATTGCATATTTGCCTGTACTGCCGTACACATGACCGTTATCGCAGCGCGTTCACTGTCAAAAACGCGATGAGTTGACAACTCTTTCCAAACATTGGCTTTCATTACGCTCTGCAAAAATCAATTCGTATAGTACTACTGTTTTCTTTTTTACATGCCGATGCATAGAACAATTGACGTCACAACCGTTATTTAATCACGCTGCGAGCGTAAATTTTGCTCAATTGTTCAGCATATGCTGTAAACTCTTTTTTATTTTTTAATGCATTACCCATGTCAAGAAGTTTTACATCCGTGACCGGTGTGAGGGTGTCAGAGCGCTCTGGACATGGCAGTTGTGATTGGCTGAAAAGGATCCCGAGTAGCTCTGGCTGCGAGGAGGGGTCGCTCTGCTGAATCAAGGTCAGGGGAGAGAGGCGACCACCTGAATTCACCATTAGAGTTGAGTGAAGCAGCCTCTTCGTACACCTGCAGCTCAACCGACCTGGCCCCATTCGCTATGATTACTGGTGTGACTATAGCTATAATCACTCGGTGTCTTGTGTGCCTCGAATGTGCATGCACAGCCAAAGCAGGGCAAAAGGCACGGAGGTGCCTGGGTCTTGGCATTCGAAAGACGTACCTTGCCGTTCTCATTCGTTTGGCGATTACACTCATTCAAACTTGAGCTTCTACTCGAGAGGGGCAGTCGCATACCCAGCATGGTGCAGCGCTGCATGCCCACTCAGGGGGGGGACGGCAGCAGGGACCACTCACCTCTGCCTTGTACATCTTGATGAGGCCTGCATTGACTTTAGCCCAGGACTGGACCCCGCTGATGTTCCACAGCTGGTTGGAGTGCTCGTGGAAGGGCCCGCTTTTCACCTGTGCATGGTGCGGCACATTGACGGGGTGTGCCGCCGGCTCGAGCCGCTCAAAGAAATTCTCCGACCGGGTCCTACTTCTGATCGGGCTATGGTCGTGTCGTGTCGGTACAGACCCCGCTAATCTGGATATTCCACTATACGGATGTTTTCGGGGACGAGTTGGGTAAATACGCGCATTTGTGTCTCGTTATTATAGCTCACATTATGAAAAATTTTGGGGGGGAACTGAGGTGTCTGTATTAACGAGACATTTCCGCCGTATTTAGGGAGAGAGCTCGTCCTGAAAAGGACGTTTTTTTCGGTCTGCATTCCATTGTTCCGTTTCACGCGCGGACGCCAATTGTCCCTTCTCTCCTCTTCTCCTGTGCGGACAGGAGGAGAGAAGAGAGCGAGGGGGAATGGAGAGAAGGAAACTGGGAACTGGTTTTCTTCCCGACAGAAGAAGATTCTGTACGTCAGCCTTTAAAGGGGCACTGAAGTCAATTCTGAAATTGTCCTTCTGTGGTGACAACCCAACCTAGACGCTCTAAGCATCCCAACAAACTCGAAACCACAACCGTGAAAAGCTTATTTCCTCGTTAAAAGCATGTTCAAAGACCGCGACACGCCCTTTTTGGGAAGAATTTTCTTCCAAATGATGTGGTTGACAAATGGCGCTTGTTGGCAAGTTGGAAGCGATGGCATCGCCCGCGGAGAAAAAGAGGAGTCTTATCCAAATGTGTACCTATCAGACTCTCTTCAAAACGAGTTATAATAAAATTATTCGGACTCTGCGCATACTGTAGGGCTTTCATTGGTCCACACAATGTAGTCTAAGAGAAAAAATGAGTCCACACGTTTTTCTATTGCCCCAAGATGAATAGGTGGTTTTGTAATACAGTGAAACCCGTCTAGAACGAACCCACGTACAACAAATTATTATTGATATCAACTCACTGAAAATTTACATAAAAATGCATGTATAAAGTATATTTTATAACGAACAACATATTGGCTATATCAAACTTTTTTCCCCCCGGAAGGCTTCCAAAAACGTGCAAACAATCGTCTTCTAGCCTCTTCTAGCGTCTTCTCGCATATTCCGAAATATTCGGGTTCATCGAGTCCGGATTAGACAAGCACTTTCTCGCCGCTGACATCGTCAAGGAAGATACCACTTCCAAAAACACGATGAAAAACACGACGCTCAACCACATGTCAATAACCGAATGGCAGCACGGTCGCCAGATGCACACTTTCGGATACTTTCGGCTTGGATTGGATTGGGGTCTGCGGCTTTTCCATTTGTTACTAAATCTAGTAGCTCTAACTGGATCTAGCCTAGTGTAGCGCCATCAGAATCCAATCCAATCAAAGGCTTAAACTGGATTTCTCGGCTGTTGTCTTTGCATCAAGTAGCACACTCTACATCCAAGTGAGCAGAGCCCGCGCCCCGCTCTAAGCAGAATTTAGTGCCTATTTTTCTGCCCCCAAGTCCTGAAGTCTTTGCTCAGGGCACACTCTATGGCGTATCCGGCTCATTTTCCCCGACTGGGCTCACTTTTTGACAGTATCCCTGACAATTCCAATTTTTCCCAGTAATTAAAATTTCCCTGACCATTCCCGGTTTTCCCGGTTGCTAGACACCCTGGTTAAGAGCACCTTGTGTCATGTTCAGTGATGTGATTGGCCTAAGCCGTTTTGGAGCAGCCAAAACAGTGTTTTGGAGCAGCAAAAGTAGCTTTGAAAGCAGATATTCTAATAAAAATAAAAATATTTGTTTTAAATGCTGGACACGCAAAGCGAATCTTGCTCGCCGAAATAAACCAATTATGGTCAAGTTCGGCCACCTGGGAGTCTTTCAAGATGTAACTGAAATGCCAATGACATGACACATTTCTTTTTGCTTTTCGAAACATTCTGCAAGGCTGGAGCAAGCTTTGCTTTAGCTTAGGGTAGTAATGAATGTCCAATTTCAATGTCTCCAAAGAGACATTGCGACATCCCACAAGTGTACAGTGCTATAGGCGTTGCCAAGAAATTCCGAAAAACCGCTTGCCACCGTTTTACTGATTGCCGACATGCCAGATTTTCGTCAAAAGTAATTAAATGTAAAACAATGAATTGCAAGCGTCCCGGCTGCAGCCTCTATCGTGAAATTATGCTCGCATCGTTGGTTTGCATGTACGTGAGGGCAACTACGGCAGACTTGCAGGTGCAAGTGCTTCGTCGCGCGAGCGAAATGGCTGTTCGATCGAAACCGAAACCATGCCTCTCCACTCCGTCGCCAACTGGTTGCCAAAAGTCTATGCAAAATGTAACTGCCCAGCATGCGACAAAAAAGAGTCCAGCGCCGCGTGCTTGCAAGGCCGGCAGGCGAGGTACGAGCTAAACACAGAAAAAAAGAACCTGAGCGCATTGATGCAAGACATCGCGAGCCAAGGTCGCTTTGTGCAACGATTGAACTCGAGACAAACAAGCGCGCTCTGCGGGTTCAGCGTGCAGACATTCCCTTCTTTGCTTTAGCTCACTTCAACTTTTCTTCTCGACACATTTTTCACGTACCGCGGTCCCTCTCGAAAGAAAGCCCCCCAAGAGAAACCTAGGTAATCAATACTTCGACACAGCAGTCTTTGAGTTAGAGAGGGATTTTTGTAGCAGTGTATGTTTTAAACAAGAACATGAATGTTGATGAACATGCGGCGGTCCTTATGTTTCAGTTTAGGAAGCTCTATATCTGCAACATCGTGTGGCCGTTGATTTCAGGAGCGAGAGCTTCAGCTCAAAAAGTAACTCCCGCCGCGCCGAAACATAGTTTCGTTTCAGAACGTCACGTCATGGCTGGTACCCAGCACGCTAGCGTCGCAGCGCGCACACATGCCGGCATCTATCAATAAAAAAAAAAATAATAAAAAAAAAGAAACGCGAGATGAGACTTACGCTTACGAGACGACGAGACATGAAAGGAGAGACGGCATGGCGGAAAAAACCATGCAAAAAACCATGGACGATTGATGCAGGGTATTTTGTGTCGGGCGGCCGTTTGCGCCGCCTAGCTCATGCATGCTCAGTTACGGTACTTAGTTTAGTTTTGGTCTTGAAAGGCGACCGAAATTCGTCCTTTGGCGCAGGCTTGGCGCAGATTACCCATATTTTGGCAAAATGTAGCAGGATGTAGCAGGGTTAGCCCCTTGGCGTAGTTTGGCGCAATTGCCGCAGCCATCAGGTCACTGCATGTTACGCTTGCCGGTGATCATGTCCGCTTGCACTCGCATCAGCGTTGACTGCAGTTTCTAAGACCTTTGTGGAATGCAAAAAACTTTTCAAAGTACATTAGCCATCAGGTCGCACGTGACGTTTGCTTGGTTGTACTCAACATTACAGAATAAGGCACCGTTGCATTTCATGGTTTATTTCACATGTTTCATATAGTCAAAGAAGCCAAATGTCATGTCATAAAATTTACAGTTGATTGGCAAATGCGTGTATCTCGCACAACTTTACCAGAACCTTTGTTCTTTCGCACTGGTCAAGGAACATCAAGGATGCAATGTTTGCATTCACAACCTTTTATTTAACGTCCCGATCGTTTCGTCGTTAACCGGCTCGTTATACACGAAACAAAAAGAAAATCTAAACTAGAAAACAAACTCACGAAAACCGGTTAAAAACAGGGCACAAGCCAGATGCAAAGCGAGATTGCGACCACTGCAACCTTATCCAGCTCGCCTTCGTTGTAGATTCAAAAATTTGCGCGAGGCGTGAGCCGGAATGACATGCGAGCTCACAACGCTCAGAACATCGCTGCCGGGCATGTCACATCCGAATGAATCAACTGTCGAGCCAGTCCCACAAACGCATTGATTAAGACATTTCCGCTGTCAACTAGGACCGAGACTTTTAGGCACACAATACAGGAAACCGCCGAAACGTCAACACAACACCGACAATACCATCAGAGACTAAACAGAATGAAAGCACTAAACGGCTACCACTGCGATGGTTGCATTCTAGGAGAACGTGGAAATTTGGACATTTTCCAAAAGTGACGTCACATACGTCAAAATATTTCATATATTTTGACGGTAGAGGTTGGAATAGTCACTGCGAAATAGAAGCAGGAACCAAGAAAATGGGGAAAAGGAGGGGGAGGGGACACATAAGTGGTCATGTGGTCCCTGTTGTCCCGTGACTGCACCCTGACGACTTGTAAAAAAAGGCATCCCCTGTCTCGGCGGCCGCCAGTCGCAACTATTTTAGTCTGAAAAATCTAACTTTTGGACTGCAAACTGTGCAAAAATTTGGTTGTTAATATGTACTATTTCAATTGTGTGAGTTACGGTTCCTCGTCAATGTCCAAAATAACGAACAAATCCAAATTTTCGACGGCCAAAAAATTGTTTGGGGACTATTATTCTTGCTTAGATTTGCTGCTTGTCCCTACATGCTTGTTGTGCAACATAGGACTGGACTCAGAATACTGGGAAGTTGAACATCGCTTACTGATGAAAAAAATACTGCAACTAAAGCAATTTCATTTTTGTAATGTTAATAAAGTCACCTACTACTCACTGCAACCCAAGTAACAAAGGCAATTCCTGTTATTCACCGGTGAAGAAGTAAAATGATTCTGTTTTCACACAGGGATGCACCGGAGCACCAGAAAAGTTAACTAATTACTCTCTGCTTCAATTTAAAACCATAAGTCTCATGCACACTAGTGCCAGCTGAACCTCTAGTGTACATTACACTAACCCTATGTACAAGACAGAGGTGCCGCACCATCTAGATTTTGACGAATGCCTACAGCGATGTCTCCATTAATGTCCACTTTTTGGGCAGTGCGCAAACGCAGTACAACCCGTGTGCAGCGCACACTCCATTACCGCCTCTTCTGAAGAGTATGCAGGACGTCTCCGACTCACCTTGCTGATGAACTCTATGCAGCCCATGAACATGTAGTCCCTAGACAGGGCCTCTGCGTAGCCCTCGGCCGTGAATGACTTGGGCTCGATGGTCGGGTGGTCTGCAAGTGAAGATATTGTCGGGCAGAAAAAACAAGTCGGTCAGACGCGCGGTCTCCTCACACCTGCGTAGGTTCTTTTTGGGGAAGTTCCCATCACTGAGATCACGGTACTATTGATTGACTGGAGTTGCATGGTGCGAACATGGTACTAGATTGCGTCAAGGTGCATCCAAGTTGCATTTTTTCTCCCCCCCCCTTTTCCAATGAAGAAAAAGAAAACATTTAATTTGTCTAAAAACTTTATGCTCTAAGAACTTAATTGGAAACTACCGTACACACTTACGTAAGTACCTCTTAAAAGAGGTTGGCAGGAAACAGTTTGGGTGTAGGCCACGCTTACGTTCGGAGCTCACAGTGTGCGCGGCTGCAACATTCCCATTGCGACACACTCCACTGGCTACTCGAGTAATAGCCGCACTATTTATGAACAACACCCTTGTGTCTGCTTTCCCGCAGAGCACATATACAGCCAATCATTGCGTTGCGCAAAAATAACATAGCGAATAACCAGATTGGGAACACAATGCTCCATACAAATGCAATCTCCACAAATGGTATCTTCGCGCGAAGACGATATCTCTATCCTGTAAACCGCTGCAATCATGCTGCCGATTGCGGTGATTGGCTAGCCGCAAACTCTGCAGAAAAGCGAACCCTCAGGTTTTCTTCAAAAACAGTGTGGCTATTACTCGAGTAAATACGGTATACACGCTTCCGGTGGCAGTCCCGAATGAAGCGATGTACAGAGCGCGTCCCTGGGAGTGTACGTCAGTGTTGCCCGCCTGCACTGGGCTGGAGGTTTTCTTGTCAGATGGGCTGTGGCAGCCTGCTTAGGCACATTTCCAGACTTATTTCTTTGTTTGTATTCCATGGCGAATAGAATTTCTCGAGGCTTTTAAGAAAGTATTGTACCAATTTTGGAAACAAAAACAAACGAAAGCTATTTTTGGTGAGTCCGTGTACAACAGAACACATGGAACTGGAACATCTTTTTTTTATTTTATGTTGATTTTTTTACGATGCCATACACTCAACCATGTCAGTCTACAAAGGTCTTAAAGGGGCGGTGCAATGATTTTAACACTGAACGAATGTGCAGCTTGTATTTTTTATATTGTTTACTTCGGCATAAGTAAGAGAAAAAGTGCCACCATACCCCAAAATACCTATATTTCGCTGCGTAATCGCAAAATAAGAAACCCTTTTTTTCCCAACCTGCGGCCACATGGTGGCCGCAAATGGAACTTGTGGTGCGACGTCATTCGGAGTGGTTTTTGTAAGTTATAGTGTTAGGCAATTGTAAGCTTGATTTAAGGTTAAGTTTAAAAAATCTTGTTTTTTAGGCATGCAGAAACACTTCAAAAGCCTAATATTGCCGCTAAAAGGGTATGAATTATTCGTGGCGCCATCTACCGCAAGTCAACAAAACCTGCCGTCGCCGTCATCCGTCGACGCCCGACGGATGACGGCGGCTACACGAGCAACCCGGACGTTTTGTCTTTCCCTCGCTCGACGGAGTGCGTTGGTCGTGGTCTGTAGCATCGTGGTATCGTTATTGTTCCTGGTGTCTCGACCTCAACTTTGACTTCGCCTTCCGCCGCGCCGCCATGTTGGTCGGGAATCGACGGGAGAGCGGCGAGATTGGCGAGCCGACGAGCGCTGGGGAAACGGAAGCCAGAAGAACCCAACCGGAAACCAACGCCACTCCGAATGACGTCACAGGCGAAGCTGGTGCCGCTTCAATGTTGAGTTGAGGGGTGCCGGAGATACCAATTTCTTTTATTTTTTTTAATGAAAACTAGGGCAAGCAGGAAGGAATAGTTTTCGGTCCTTTGTTATATATGTGGCCGGGATCAATTCCCGCAATTAATTAGCCAAAGTCCGCAAATTCTGCACCGCCCCTTTAACTGTTGAACATATTTGACCACACAGGGTAGCCGAAATGTGTGGGTATTCCCCGCTCACAACGTCAAATTCAACGAGCCTCATCAATCGAACAACATATTGTATGTGGCCTATGGTGCCGCGTTATCCGAACAGGATTTGTTTGAGAGAGGTCTCGAATAACACAGCATATCCAATGTACAGTGTTGATGATAGCCACTTCATGACGATCGGACGGAATCAGGCTTGTCTTTGGGCAAGCTTTGGAGAGAGCTGCTTCTTTGCACAGCACCAAGGAAAATGACGAACGTGTCTATTTCGTTCCCATTACGGACCCAACCCTATCAGCTATTTTTCGTGAAGACTGGGAAAATAGCCGGGAAGGCTTTTCGGAGATTATCCCAACGAAAATAATCCTCCAAGAAGGTCGAACGGCGCACGTCGCAGGCTGTTTGATATTCACTCCTTCGTCCGTTTTCTGTGAAGGCCAAGCAGGCTACGAGCCCTGGTATTCCCTGGATCTCACAGTGAAAGATAACATAAAAACTTGAAAAGGTAAGCATCCCGAACTGGCAAATAATATAAAACCATTCAACAAAAGCCGACGAACTCCGAATGCACAATGCAAGTGGGGAGTCGTGCTGACAGGGTTTCCACGGCTCGGGTGGGTGGCAGAATACTTTGGCCGATGAAGGTCGCTCGAGTTGCAAAACAGCAGCGGCCAGAGAGCTCTTTTTGCGAAGGACTATAGTGACACTGGCCCTGACCTAAAATAGGTAGCTACAAACACGACATATGTAGTTTTTCACAATGAAAATCAAAGTTTTAAGGGGGGACACGACCTGGGAATGTCAACTTTTGAACCGTTCACTCAATCGGTGCGATATTTGCAGGTGGTGTTTGTAGCCATATAGAAGGAGGGCATGCAAAGTTTAAACCCTGTGAACCAATTTTATACCCTCAGAACAAAGTAAAGCACAGTGAAATACCTGTTGCCACTTACTATGAAAAATATTTCAGAAAACGTGCATTTTCCAGGTAAAAAAAGATTTATGAAAAACAAATTTTGTTTTTTAACATTTACAGTATAGACCACTTCCAACGTAACCACTTATAGTGCAGGACCGGGTATAACGCGGCTTTTTTAAACTACCGGTTCGCCTCCCATAGAACTCCATGTATTTACATACCGCTTAAAATGCAGGCGCGCAAAGGGAAATACCGGTTATAGTGCGGTTTTTGGAACAGCGCGCCGACTGAGCGGCACAGCGGGCACGCTTCCCTGTGCGACACTAGATAACGACGCGAGCCGCAATGGCTCAAGCGGCACTTGCGAAGCAAGGAGGTTGCTCAAAGGCTCGAAGAAGTGGGGAGAAGCGAAGAGAGAGGCTCCAGTTGCCTTAGCGACGAAGGGACGCACGCACGTGTCGTTCACGTGCGTGCGTCCCTCCGCTGCGTTGAAAACAAACAACCGCAACGACAGACCCGACAGACAAATCGCAGGTCGAGGAGAAGTGTTCATGCTCGTTGCATGCCGGTCGTGGGCCGACTGCTTCATCCGCGAACATGGAGTCGGTTATGATCGTCGACGTAGATGGCGTTAAAGTGAGCTACGGCGTGGTGGAAGCTTATCGGTCCGCATAAAAGCGCTATCCTTGACTGTGAATTTTCGCTGTGTGTCGCTATGATAACCCAGCACGTACTGGAAGGGAAGATCTACCTACTCGTGCGGCGACGTCGTGGCGGCACTCTCAAGACGGCAGAAACGCCCGTGTCGTCGTGTTTGTTTACTTCAACTACAGTGGTGCTTTTTAAGCATTTGTGTTTTCGAACATCGCCCGGATTTCTTATTTGGAGCATTTCATGCCTGTGCTCAAGTTGAGGGTATTACTGGCGCGTACCGTATAAAGGATGCGAATTTTCACGCGTTTTCATCGCCGGAGAAAAGTGATTAGGGTTAGCAATCCTGAACGCTCGCAACGTCCGTCCGCAACCCGCGATGCAATTAAAAGGCTGCGCCAGGCAAAAGTCACTCATTTCTTTCAAAATGTGTGACACACTTGAGAGAGAAGTGTACTAGTCTGATGAAATAAAGATGACTTTTCTCAAACTAAGCTTTATTTTTCATCTAACATAAAATAAATTCTTTTACAAAGGTAAGTTGTCTGATGGCATGTATTTTGGCCTGAAAAATTGATGTTTTGGTTATAGCGCGGTACCACTTATAGTGCGGATTTTCGCGACTCCCACGACATACGTTATATGTGTGGTGTATTTACAAGAAAAACGGGTTACAGAAATCAGCCCGGTTAGAACACGGCTGCATGCTGTCGCTCGGGTAGGCAGTCAGTCAGTTCACGCGATAGTCTCGCGCGCACGCTGCACGTCAAGGCACGAGCACTGCCACAGATAAAAGATTTCCCCCGGTGTAATTGAAGAAACCAAAGGAAAACACACATTGCACACAATGCCGAAAACGGTATGCGTCGTATCTGTCTGGAGGACGACGATGTCTTGTGGGGTAGCGCTGTTGCACAGCGGGATTGTCGGTTGCCCTCTGTGGGGTGGTTGCAAACTCACTGACCACAGGCTCGTCGACGCAGTTCTCTGGATCCCTCAGGTCGGGCAGGAATCCGTCTGATGTGACTTGCATCGAGTTTTCACGATGATGAAGCATCTGGTCTTGGTGACGGCGCCAGATATATATGCCCCGAGCAGTCGTGACTCGAACCTGGAACGACACTGGGCCAGATTGCTTGAGAATTGTGCCGGGAACCCACTTCTGGGAGCCTCTATAGTTCCTCACGAGAACATTGTCGTTCACACTAAAAATCCTTGTTCGTGCCTTTCGCTGCGAGGTCTGGACGAACTGTTGATGCCCTACTCTTCCCCCAACGGAAGGCTTAATGACATCGAGTCTTGTGCGAAGTCTTCTGCCTAAGAACAAACTGGCAGGTGTTTCTTTTGTCGTCGTGTGAGGGGTATTGCGGTACGTCAGAAGAAACGTTTGTACCGTCAACTCCAGGGAGTCTTGCGGTCGTCCTTTTCGGAGAGCAGACTTCAATGTCTGGACAAACCTCTCCGCGAGGCCATTAGTACTCGGGTGATAGGCCGCG